GCCGTGATTGGTCCGTGCTTCATTGTCTCTCAGCTTATAACTTCGGTCATGGATGACGTTTGCAAGGGCTTTGTCATTGAGCTCGTAGGCTATTGGGCCACGCTTCTTTTCTCGATCTTTTCCGCCCTTTTAATAATTATCATCTGCTTCTTGTTTTCAAAATACTTTTTTCGAACCCACGAACGCCGGAAGAGGACTTCCCGTAGACAAAGGCGATTGATCTCGTCTTTAGAGGAGTCCGAATCGACTGAGACGACCGAGTCTTCAGGACCGTCCTCCTCTCTGGTCGTTCGAACCACCTTCGTCCGCACAGACTCTAGAACGTCGCCGATTCCCTTTGGCATGCCGAGCGCTTATAATACCTCGATATCATCGCTTCACGTGCATTCTGCCATGCCATTCAGTTCCTCTTTGGCTCCCATAGTGGTTCGGTCATGCATCAATCGTTTTGCCTCTGTACCAGCGATCATGCACTATCATCCCTTCGTCAGCCTTATGTCTCAAACTTCCATGCACCAAGCCATATGTTCTGGAGCCTCGTCTCATGGCCCGTTGCGCAGGATCAGCTCGCTGACGGCAGTTCACTCAACAGACCACATTCACGATCACCTGGTCACGCCGGTCCGACATGCTCATTCGTGCACTACGATCGAGACACTGCTTCCTCCTCCCCCACAGCGAGTTATCATCGCAACACCCCCGTTGTTACCTCCGGCGCCCATCATGATGCCGCCACCGATGATCATCCAGCCACCTCCGCCACCCCAGGCGAGTTAAGCTCATACATCTCATGTTCTAATTAAGAAACGTCTAGACAGAGTGGTCAACTTACTTTTTTACGTTTCCTCCCGTTCCGCTTTTAACATCGTCAAAAGAAATTAGGGTGTACAAAGTCCTCAGCAACTTGGAGGGATTAGGGTGTACAAGGTCCTCAAAACCTCGGCTTGGAAACTGCAGCCTTTGTGGATGTCTTGGTGCAGGAATGCTCGTTTCCCTAGCGATGCACGGTTCACGATTTAGTATATGCGCCGAATGAATGCCGTCACACACGCGAGCGCGGCCTACATCCTCTGGCGTGCAAAAACCACGCACGTTTGCTAGCATCTTATGGCCGGGGTCACACTGCTCACATCATAAAAAAGACATTTTGCAAACACGAGTCGCCGCAATATCCATGGTTCGAATGCCGCGTGCCAAGTTGCCTCCTTGAACTCATTTCCATGCGGCATTTGAAGCAAGGGTCTCGCGGTAACTCGCTTTCGAACCTGTATGCGAACTGTCATTTGTATGACGGATAAGCATGTCTGACCCCGGCTTATAGCTAAATACGTACACGCTTGCTAGCGATATCTCACAGCCACGCTTTCTAGCAACTATAGCTTTATTGTACGTCGGGAAAACATTTAAGAATGCCACTGTTCTCTATTTGGACTGTATGTAAATATCTGTTTACGGAGGTATAGCTAAGGTATACGTCTGAGATTTTCTGAAATGCCCGGCGTACCGTGCCGCGTACGAGCTGTCATATCGGTCTCTAGGCCGCATAGTTCAAAGTTTATAACAGCTTAGATCGCTTGCATTCATATCGTGGGTGTCACGGGGATCGCGGTTTTTGCTTGATGCCTGCTTTCAGTGTTGTTTTGATTTCAATCGCCAGTTTCATTGTCAGCAAACTAAAAAGCTTGCCGACAACAGTGCACGACGCACGTATTCCCGACGCGGTACTTGATCGTTTAATAATAATAACGGTAATAACTTAGAAAAGCACGTGTCACTTGAACCTAATTTCCAGCGACCTTTGACTTTTTATAATGCATGAAATTCAATATAGAAAACTGGTGTGTCACGTGACACGTATCTTCCCACTAAATTTAGCGAAGAAACTGGATTGATGTTTTGGAAACAAGACGTGAATTTCCCCGCTAAATTTAGCGGAAAACTAAGTTGACATATGGTTCAGGTGCCGTCAATTTAAGTGAGGTGACGTCATGTGACGCCACTTTCCCCGCTAAATTTCGCGGAAAATGCACGGCCGGGTGGACGGGCGAAATTATGGGAATGGAAGTAGTTTTAAAAAGCATCTCCAAATTCCACGTAAAAAAATATCAAGAATCGATAATGCTTTGTCGATAAGACACACCGACAGCATGCTGACGCACTTGCCTCCCGCTTTTTTTTTTTTAATGTTAATAATTTCTTGTTTTTTTTTTTTTTTTTGTTTTGTTTTTGTCTTGTGCTTTGCTCTCTTCCGGAACTTGGTCGATTTCAAAAGCAATTCACACCCACGTCGTTTAACGTGCTCAGCAAGATGACCACCCAAATTGCTTGGTACAGAAAGATTATGCTGGTGCGCTCTCTCACTCGACCCGTTTGTCCAAAGTAAATGCAGCCTTTCAGTTTAGGAAGTTAAAATCTGCGGGGTACCCCAACATGCTACTATCAAGTGTTTGCCAAAGCAAATTACAGAAACTTAAAGGATCACAGAAGAAAACAAAAAACAAAAACGTACTATAGAGCAGATCATAAAAAAAAAAGTCCAAGTTGTGAATTATATTCGCAAGGTATCTCACAATTTAAAAAGAGAGCTGTTAGATATGGCATTAATCTGCATTTCTCGGTTCTTTGCAAGTTACAAGATATATCCCATACGTACTGGGCATTAAAGTGCCCGGTGCGCAAAAAGACATGCCGTCATGTACTTTAAGTGCACGAGTGGGGTTGTTTAGGATATATTCATTTTAGCTGTGGCCCCATTTACATTGGACAAACGGGTCGCTGTTTCAATGAGAGAGCGCGTCAGCATGATCTTTCGATACGAAGCAATTTGGATGGTCATCTTGGTGAGCACGTTAAACAATGTGGGCGTTAACCGTTTTTGAAATGGACCAAGTTCCCGAAGAGAGCAAAGGACAAAACAGAGAGGGAAATTATGAAAGCGTTATTTTATAATAATAAAAAAAAAAAAAATACGGGAGACAAGTGCGTCAGCATGCCGTCGGTGTCTCTTATTGGCAAAAAATTATGGTTTCTTGGTGGTTTTATCTGAAGATAGGCGCGTGGTAGACGTACAATCTTAATGTACGCTTTGTTTTTTATGTCCGCAGGCTATAGTATATATCGCTTGGTGAATGATGCAATACACTTAGTTGGAAGTCAGCGCTAGTCCTGTCGTGCGTGCCTCTTTTCGTCCCCGTCAAGTTTGCGCCATTTTAATCATGTCTATTATGAACCAACTAGCCCAATCAAAACTCGTGTTACAAGTTGTTCTATCTGAAGGCATACCCTCCAAAAGCAGAGAACCATGGCGTATGGTTAGCGCAAGCTACAACTGTTTGATTTATTTGATAAATTGAGAGGGTTCGCATCACGTGATGGTCTGGTTCACTCAGCCCCGTTTTCTTACGTTACATTACGTTGCGAAAGCTTACGTCTGCTAAGCCACAATTCACCAGGACATCTGATAGCCCGGCACGCGACATTTGAGACACGAACGTTTCGGCGATTTGATGCGATTCACACACTTGCGTCGAGTCCGACTGTGTACAACTGCAACGGCTTGCGACGTACAGCTGCGCCGGATCCAACAAAGCCTGTTTTTATCACGTTTTGTTGGAGCCGACGCAGCTGTTTCTATAGCAACCCTTACGTTGCAAATCGTTGCAGTTATACTCGGTCGGACTCGATGCGAGTGTATCAGTCGCCCTGTATATATACCTGCGAGAACCTAAGAAAACGGTGCTGTGTGAAACATCCTTTAGTTGGCTTCTTAGGCCACCACGGTATCCAAATCTTGTGGTGCACTGACAGCGACAATATTTATTTACGCTCTAGAATGTACGTACGGAGAAATAAAATAAATAAGCCTGCTGTGACTGTATTGGCCAATTTGGAGCGCGCGTTTCTCGATGTTTAGTAAAGTTACTGGCAAGTCATTTTAAAAGAGCTTGCTCGTTTCTTATATTCTTTTGTAACACAACGGGATCGCCTAGAGATAAGAAGGCTTTTAGAACAACCGCCTCCTTACTATGTGATCTTTTTCTTCGGGGGCCGAGTTGCCCACGCGTCTTGATTTTCTTCAAATTTCCGGTCAAGACGTTTGGTGTAGTACATTAGTGGGGCGTTTTATATAGTATCAAAGTGACCTTTATAAAACAGTTTATCCAAAGTCTGAAGGATCGTTGAAGATGTAAATAAGTTATCCTTTTTTTTAAATAATTACTTGAACACAATCTCGTTGCAAACTGAAGCGGCACTGAGGACAAGGGGAAGTCGGTGATCTTTCTGTGTTGCGAAAAATCCGAGATTTGCTTCTGAATTCCTTTCTTTGCCACAACGTCCAAGTCCCGAGCAGCGAGTTTCGCTCTCAGTTATAAAGCACGTGTTCGCACCTCTCCCTTTATAGAACGGTATCTTGTCCGTTAGGTGTCATTTCGTCATAAAGCACCAGGATTGTGGTGCTACCTACTGACTGCACTTCGGCTTTAGTCCACAAATATTGAATGCACTTTGTACGTATTCTAAACTGAATTCTGTACGTGGTTCTATACTAATATGAAATATGTTCGGGACTAAAGGTGCGTGTGGGTGCGTACGAACTAAATTTACGCCTCTGATCCCTGCATGCACACGTGTTTTATTTCTATGATAACGAGTTCTATGTGGTACGCTGAGGTACATTTTTATTGTGTGTGTGTGCGTGTATTTTATATATAACGTGAACTAATGGTTGTACATACTTTTAGTATACTTAGACTAAAGGTGCTACAATATACCTTTAGTACGTGATGTATAGAACAAAAAAAAAAAACGAGGTAAGACAAGAGCGGAGGGGGTGTGGGTGTGGATTGTACAGGAGAAAAATGAGGACTGGCGAGGTTTAGTGGAACCCCGGTGAAATATAAAAGAAAGCTAAGGTCTCCTTGTCACGCAGTGCTCGATGTGCACGAAGTAGTATATGCGTCGGGTTTGAAGCATATTTATGTAGTTCCGTGATATGGACGATGTCTCGTCGCTCGGGAGGTTGCAGGACGGTGTCTAATTCGCCGGCGCATAGGCAGGTTGTCTACCCGCCACCCCCGCCACCCCCACCAGCTCCATTGTTACCGTTTAAACAGCGCTCGTCCGTCGCGTCGGGTGGAACTCTGGCAGAAAATCAGCAGGCCGCCACGGCCCACACCACCATTAACTTCTACGGGTCGTCGGCCCCCTCTGGCTACGGCCTGATGCCTCAGGTGGCACAGCCCATGTTCGCCATGCCCAGTTCTCCCGTGTACGCCATGCCAACCGGCGCGGCTATTGCACAGGCCCCTGCGTACCAGTATGCCATGCCGACCAGTGCTGCCCTTGCGCAGGCTCCGGCGTACCAGTACGCCTACCAGACGACGACACCCGTGACCCAGGGGACCACGTCGGTACGCCGCGTCACGTCGCTGTCGCAGCTGTACAGCAGCACCGTCGCCACCGCTCCAGCCTACCCGCAGTACCAGTACGCGTACCCCACGGCAGCGCCGGTGTCCCAAAGGACGGTGTCCTTCCGTCGCGTCGGTTCCACGTCGCAGCCGTGTCAAGTGAACACTCAAATTCCAGCCACGACAACTGTCCAGTATGCTGAGTACCCCACAGTAACGCAGACGCCCCAGGGGTCTACGACGTCAGTGACTCGCGTCGTGTCCGCGTCGCAGATGTGACGAGGAGGAGCGCAGGTGCCGACGGCCTCGGCTATATACCAATACGTCTATCCGACGGTGTCTGAAGTGCCCCAAGGGAGGGCGTCGGTAACCCGCGCAACGACACAGGTGGACACATCCGCGATAATCCCTATCTGACAGTGCGTGATTCCGGGCACGTCGTCACCACTGAATCATCAATGTGCCATGTACCGTCAGTGGTGTGCCGTCAATCCACTGTCGAACTCAACACACACACGCACAAAAAAAAGGTGGTTGTTTGATTTGTTTTTTGCATCTTTAAAGACAAGTGGGGCGAATGTGTTTGTATGTTTGTTTGCTTATTTGTCTGTTTGTTCGAATATCTTAGAGCGAGGGGAACAATCGATAAACTTTGCGCGGCAGAACGTTCGCTTTGCGCATTGACACTGCTGCGAAGACTTGCTATATTCGATCTACCTGCACGACCTGCGCCTGCTGCACTCGGCGCAGAACGCCGTATTTGACTTACGAGTGCAGCCTACCTGAAAAAAAAAAAAAAAAAAAACCGGAAGTACATTGCTCTTTACTCTTCTGCATCGGTGCAGGCTGGTGCTGGTTAATCGAATGATCCCACTGTCTGTCGTGCACGTATACGCTGCATCCCGGTCCACGGTGGCAGAAGAGAGGTTACTGAACGGCATTGCCTCGCCACGGAGCATGTGTTGCGAAGGTTCGCTCGCATTTCTGACAAGCGCCGCGAGATGGCGCAGCATGTAAGGGGCTGTCCAGAGGACGAAGGTGAGGCTTGAACACACTGGGGTGGAATGCAACACGGCGGGAAAAAAAGACCGAGACATCGCGACCTTCTGCGATTGGTCGACTCCATGCCGCTGACCAATCGCAGCAGGCGGCGATGTCCCGGTTCATTCTTCCCGCTCTGGTCTCGCCGTCTTGCTTAGCACCCGTGGTGGCAGAAAACGAGACAGTTACTTTATGTTGTTATTTTTTTACCTATTCATTTATAGCTAGGGAAGGAAATCTTTTTGAGCTCGCATCCTGCAAAGGGAAAACCAACATCTGCTTCGCTGTCCTCGCTCAACGCAGCAGGGGCGCAGGCTCCACTATTTCTCCACGGGGCGCGGTGCCGTCGGTGCCGAGAAGCGCTCGGATTGCAGTTTTTCAGAAAGCTGTAAAATACAGCGCGTGCCTTCTGTCACACTCCAGTTTTCTTATTTGGCGTTTCTCGATGATGCTCAGCAAGTTTCCAAATTAAATCATGTCCTTAAACTCAATATTAAAAAAAAATTAATTATGTGAAAATAATTAACTTAATTATGCCAAACTTTAATAATTTTCCTTAATAGGCCCTTGGCCTAAGACCAAAACAACACAAGCCTTTGTTTTCTTCTTTTTTTTTTTGGTGGGATGCGTAGTTTGCAATATCGAATTTGTCCACCTTTCGTGAAACACCAGGCTATCACACAGATGTGGACTGAACCCACTCTGCTGTCAGAAATCTTTGGAACATCTGTTGGCTTGCACTTCGACCTCCTTGATACACATCGTCGTCGTCGTGCGTGATTCGTCCTCACAGTGTTTTCACCTTCTCAAATATTGCACTCTGAGCACGTGGACCGAAAGCTTGCGCTGCAGAACCTAGGAATCCAGGGATCCTGGGTTCGATCCCCACCCCTGCCCGTTTCGATCTGGATGAGCATGGGGTCTTTAAAGGGGTACGGAAACGAAATTTTAAATATTCAAATTTCGTTCGGAAATGAGTCAAGCATGACGGATAATAACCGTAAATGATAATCGCGCGTTTGTCTTTTGAACGACTGGCTATATTTTTCGTTCCATACGGTGCACTCGAGCAAGCGCTCGAAGAGAAGCGAACGGAGAGCGCGATGCATCATGGGATATCCGGCGCAAACAAAAACAGAAAGAAAAGATTCCCCGCATTCGTGACGTAGCAAGGCTGGCGTGGTTATGAGCTTTGCCGTTGGTGGCGTTGGCAACGTTTTGGTCAACGCGTTAGAACCGAGCAGCTCGAACTACCCGTGGGGTGACGATCGTGTGGCTGGCCCAAGAGGGAGCCTCCATGTGCTCGCACATGAAGGCACCCTAGCCCAAAGAGCACGTAGCTTCCACAACACTGTCAGCCTAGGGCTGAACGGGGTGGGGAAAGCAACTTTTGTTCAAATTTGGAGCGACGAGATAATCTTCTAAGGGGAGAATGGCTGTGTCCGGTTGCACGAACGAGAGTCCGAGAAAGAGGGGAGTCCTTCCTTTCTGTCTTCTTGGACCGTTTGGTGCAATGCGCGATTTGTGAGTTGAGGAGGAAAGCTGAGAAGGAAAATGTTGAAATGCCAAAGAGTGGCGCTGCTCCGAAGGAATCTGTTACTTACTACAGTGTACTAAAATACTTAGGTAGTGTTAGGACCGGAGCGGCTCGGCGATAGTTCGTGGCGGCGCTGTAGTGGAGTTATCCGAAAAAAAAAATCGCGCAGCCCGCCTTTTTTTTTTTTCACTTTGAGCAGTGCACGTGTCGGTACGACGATTTTATATACTCCGGTTCACCTTATGTTGTACCGCAGCGAAGGCTAGAAGCACGAGCTCATAGCGTTGGCAGCTGCCCTTGATGCACGAGAGCTTGTGCCGCCGAAATGTGCCCTAGAGCAAGGAGCTCGCGCTTGTAGGCTTTCCTGCGGTACGACACAAGGTGAAACAGTATAGTTCCGCGTGTTTTTCACTTCGAGCGGTGCGCGTGTCGGGACCACGATTTCCTAGTTCCGTGTGTTCGATCGTAATATGCTTTGAATCTTGTGTTCCGATTTTGCGGATGGTGAAGTATTCACACGAGGGAGAAATCCCGGGGATGTCTCCCCGGCACGCGCGCATCACGAGATGAAAACGCGAGGCTTTTGCACATCGCAAAGCCTGGCGTTTTCATCGTGGGATGCGCGTGCCGGGGAGAAATCCCCGGGATTTCTCCCTCGTGTGAATACCCCTTAAGGGGTATTCACACGAGGGAGAAATCCCGGGGATTTCTCCCCGGCACGCGCGCATCACGAGATAAAAACGCGAGGCTTTTGCACATCGCAAAGCCTGACGTTTTCGTCGTGGGATGCGCGTGCCGGGGAGAAATCCCCGGGATTTCTCCCTCGTGTGAATACCCCTTTAAGCGTGTTTCCCATGCAGCGGTTTTGGCCCTAGAGCGGCGCGATTTCTGCCGTCGCGGCGTTCTGGCCAGCACCAGCGGTCGAGCGGCACGAGCGCCGCGACGGCAGAAATCGCGCCGCTCCAGGGCCAAAATCGCTGCATGTGAAACCCGCTTGAGGGTAGTGCCAAAATGCCGTCGGCGAAACAGCGACAGAACTCTTGCTCTGCACCATGGTTTCAAAACGGGACTCATCCGAGTGAAAGGAGTGAAAACGGCGTCCCTTTTCGGCGTTCCAAAGGACAGAGCCAAAAGAGATCTTTGTGAGGAGAATCTCCAGCGATCGGACAAGCGTCTTGAAGAAACAAGCGCTGTCTGCATGCGAGCTGCACTTCGAGCCCGCTTCATCCTTCCAGACTTCGTCCATATCATCGGCGGAAAGGAAGTGGGGATCCCTCGTGGACACCCAGCGCTTACGCCAGACGCGGTACCCACTGCTGCCAAGTGTACCCCAGGACCTGAGTGATGACCTCTCCGGAGGACGAGAGGAAAGGAAGCGGAAGGCAAGTTCACCAGAGCCCATCGTTGCAAAGCGTTCGGGGCTCGTTTGGGAAACTGACCCGTTGTCACCAGTGGTAAACAGCGAAGCTCCTGCCGTGATCCCACAAGGCATCGATCGCGACGCACTAGGCTCTCTAAATGTGCCAATTCCTACTGGGCTGTTCACATTACGTTTAGCAACTTCGACGGTGTGGCTTATTTGGAGACTGCTCTTGAGCCGAAGTCAAACAGGAGCAGCATCGAAAGGGCGGTGTTCATTTGTTTCGACAACTTACCTGATGTGGTATGCCAAGTATACCTTCAGGGCCATGTATGCGCTGCGCATTGTAACCATGTATGCAACCCACATTGTAATCATGTATTTCAATGCCGTGCTGTAAGCTATTACAACTTTTTCCTTGCCTGATCCACGTGTGTTCATGTTTTCTGCTCAAAATGATGTGAAATAGTTGCTTGTTTTCTTTGATTCTTATAAAGCATTACTTGTTCAGCCCACGTTGTCTCAGTTTTTGGACTTAAGTTCAATGTTAAAACGCGTGATAAAAATTGTCACGACTTATAAGCCATTTCTTACAAGTGAACGTCGGGTGGTCCTCGGATGATCGTGGCAGCCATGAAGAAATAAAATATTCTCCCCCTTTGCGACCGTCGCTTGGGCTGTTCGTCCCATAAATGAACTCAAGAATGAGTGACAAGTGAAGCGAGATGATTAAGGTCAAGAAAAGGAGACGGGCTGGAAAGAAGACGGAGAAGTTAACCTGGGGTATTAATAACATACTAAAACAATCTCGGACTTTAGTATGTGCCGTTCGTTCCATTATAAAATAAGATAGGGAGAAAAAAAAACTGCTTTTGAGTTTTAGATATCCCTTTCAAATATCAAATGTTCGGCCTTTGCGACTCAAGGAAATAGGCATTTCATTTAAAATGCTCACCATTCGACAAGCAGAAAGTCGCAGCTAATTCTAAAGCGCGAAACATACGACGAAACCTTCCGATCCGACGTGCGGACTGCCGGATGACCTTGGGGGGAGAGGGTTTTCGTAGCATCGGAGAGCGTTGAAAACCCTCGCCTCCGCCCGTCGTATTGCGCGGTCGGACGTCGGATCGGACGGTTTCGTCGTACATGTAACTTGCAGTCCGCTTCTTTAAAGTCGCAATTGTTTTTATGTAAAGGAAGGGTAATGTAGCTTGTACCGTCCAATACATTGAAGCATAATTTTGCTAACGATCGTGATGCAGCGTAATTGATGCCGCGGTACGACCGCTGGCAGGATGTAGCTGTATCAGAAATCCTATGTGCACTTTACCAAAGCGGCACCAGATTCATATTTTCGCGCGTGCAGCCGCGCATGCGCACACCTTCTGGATAACGCGCCGGTGTCGACACCTGTCGCGATCAATACCACGCGCTTCAGGCAAGCCCCTCCGGTCCCAACACTACCCAAGTTGATACTAGTACAGTGGCCACTGTAATATTATAAAAAAAAAAAAAAATATATATATATATATATATATATATATATATATATATATATATATATATATATATATATATATATATATTCAACGTGCAGTAGCTTCTCGCTACTGCACGTTGAAAATGGAGAGGCCGTGAACTGGGTGCTACCGGGTCTGACCTTCGCGGACGACATAGTGCTGACGGCGGGCTGTGCAACGGCGATGCAGCAACTTCTCGACATATGTGCTGATGAGGCTGCCGTGCTTGGTCTCAAGTACAACACATCCAAGTCCGCCGTGATACAATTCGCGGGCACTGAGAAAGAAGAGCTCGATAGCCTCAGATTGGGGCTTGACGTATTACCGGTACTGAATAAGTATAAGTACCTAGGCGTTGAGTTGTCCAACGAGGCAGACTATCTGAAAGAGCATTACGTCCACCTCCGTCAATCCGCCACACGGGGAGCTAACATCCTCCGTAAGCGCAGCCTATGGAGCTGTAACAGATTCATAGTGAGCCGCGAAATGTGGAAGGCGGTGGTGGTGCCTGGTTTGACGTTCGCCAACGCAGTGGTGTGTGTACCAGGTGACACAAGAACCGCTTTGGAGCGCAGACAACGAGAAGTGGGACGCCAAGCGCTGGGCTGCCATGGCACGGTGGCGAATGAGGCAGTGCAGGGGGACCTGGGCTGGTCGTCTTTCGAAGCGAGGGAGGCGACAAGCAAGGTTTCCTATGACGGGCGGCTTCGACTCATGGACCGGTGCCGTTGGGCCAAGAGGCTGTTCATATACACACATATGACTTCCCTGCAGAGCCGTTGGCGAAAGCGCCTCTACCAGCTTGAGAAAAAGTTCGGCTTCTTCACAGAACCGGTGGAGGCGACCACAGAGAAAGAATGGGAGTCTGTGGTGCGGAAAAGGGTCCGCGAACAGGAGAATGTACAATGGCTGGAGGCTGCCCGGACAAAGTCAACCCTTACCATGTATGCGGAGTTAAAACAGCAAATCACGGCAGAGACGCGGCTGTACGACAACAGCTTGGGCAGCCGCCTATTGTTCGAGGCTCGTGCTGGAGCCCTGCGCACACTGGTGTACAAACAGCGCTTCGACAATAGTGTGCAGTCGACTGTATGCCGAGTATGCGAGGGTGAGAGCGAAACCGCAGAGCACATCATACTCCGTTGTGGAGGAATCCGACCTTCTGCCACTTCTGCCACCGAAGAGGCGAACCGACTACACGAAGGTGTCCCGCCTCTAGCGGCAGCGTTGGGCTTCTCGTCAACAAGCGAGGCAGCCAATACTACTGAAGCCTTTTGGAAGACCATCGAGCAGACGAAAAGACGACTGGAGGATTGGTGGCATCATACACAACACAGGGGGCGCTGAATTCACCCCCAGGCTTGGGCACGATTATTTGAGCCCGCCCGTTATAAAGGGAGCAGCCGCAGTATCATCATCATCATCACCATTAGGTTGCTTCAATTTGGTTGGTTTCGGTTTCAACGTGAACGCGGCTATGTTGCTGTTTTACGTTCTTTTGCGTAATTTTGTGATCCGACTATTTTCCTTGTAGCACACAACCAATGAAACAGTGGTATTGAGCTACTTTGAGGAAGACGAGGTGTATTTAAATCTAAATCGCGGGCTTTTTTTTTTTTTTACCAACACTTTTGATATGTTTGATTATGGCCGGTTGCGAAACGCCTGACTGATATATAGGGCAGATTATCATCGTCTACGGCCGTGCCCGATGACCACCAAACTAATGAAGAGACTAACACGTGAATATAAAGAAGCATATCGACAGCTTGATTAGCAATCTGCTGAATCAGCCAGAACAGATGAACTCGCGAGTTTACTACTCACTGTTCGGTTTTTGTGGGCACCCAACCTTTAGTGAACTTTACAAACTAAAAACGTATCGTGTAATGACACAGATAATTGATATAAACAAGTAGTGTCGTCTCGGCCTCTTTTTTTTTTTAATTCAGTAATGAAGCATGTTTTGACAGGCCGAGTAGGAAATTTATTTATATTATCAACACGGCTAAAGTACTCATAAGCAACATTTCGCCATATTGATCCTTGGAAATAAATTATTTTTATATGAACATTTGCTTCCTCAAGATATGATATAAGTGACAGGCCCGTCAAATTAAATTTGACATTTGTCTTCCGTAAAATTGGCCAAATAAAATTAAAGGCTGCAGGAGGAGAAATACCTCCGAAAGTTTGGCTGAATTCTAGCGCTAGGCAACACTCCACAGACCTGTGTGAACAAATACTTCTTTGTTTGAACAGATTCGCTTTGTAAATATTGGCGTCGCCAGCCACCAAAAGTAAACCTCTATTCGCCATCGATAATCCTGGACACAAGTAATTGTTATGCAAACGGCTTCTTTTTTTTTTTTTAATATTGCAGATTTTAGATACTGGCAATAATTAAAACAGCGTACGCAAAAAAAAAAAACAAAAAAAAAACAACGTCGTCATTATTGCGCATATCCCGAACCCAAACCGCGTTTTGGATTAGCAAATAGAAACGAGATTATTTCTTTGTGCACGCTATTCCAAAACTCGCTACTGTTGTCGTGGCAGTTTCTTACGCGGGAAGTCCCAACTGGTTATCTAAATATAATCAATAAATCGCTTAAATGACTGCCGAAATGGGAGGGAGCACGGCATACATTTTCTTAAACTTCATAAGTAAACCGACCAACCGAACGACTACGTCGCAAAAAAAGATTGAGAACCTCATACACATATGTAGGTGCGCTATTGTTAACAAACAAATCGCGTGATGTTGACGTAGCAGTACTTCTAGCCTCAGATAAAATACAAGTTAAACGTTCGTTGTCTATCTCCTCAGCAAGTTTCCTCAGATAATCAAAAGAAACAGATTTCGATATATTATAAATCCAAAGAACGATACTTTCAGGAAATACAGATAGTCTCCTTGCGCTGACTATTCTGGACGCCTTCGGATCCTAAACGCACGATATAAATATGCGCGCTTCTTACTGAGAAAGTTCCACCACTATAAGTAAACAAACCTCAGTTGTCATAAGGACCTTTGTACCCTCGTGATGTCTTAGTCGTCGAGTAGACGTATCGGGCTACAGTTTTCGAAGTCAGGCAAGAAAGCGCGGCGAAACGCGACGAAAAACACGATTACAACCAATACAACGCATCCGCCAAGGCGCGGAGGGGAGAGCGGAGCAGCAACTTGAAGCAACCTAATGGCTGCCTCGTCACGTGATTCCAAGATGGCAGCGCCCATGCGAAGGAGGGAGTACACTGTACTGCTACGTCACGACTACGTAGCAAGTTCCCCAACGTTGCTAGATTACCTCCCAAATAGGCTCCGCATGCATCCACCAGGCGCACTTTGAAAGATCGTTTATTTAGCTTCAAAATTAGTTTTCTTGTGCCTTTCAACGGAAGACTGGTGTTTTTGAGGTTAGGGTGCAACATGCAACACATTCAAGCTAGAAAATGAGCGCTGAAATTTCGTTTCCCTAAAATTCGGCGCTTATTTTATGGCCTATATGTGTTCAAAGGAGCAGTATCACATCAAACATCTTGTTACAAAAAGTCACGAAAAGGAATTTTAAAACGAATTAAACAATTAGCTTAGAGACCTGGTGGATGTCGCTAACGCCTCGCTTGTAATGCCCATCTAGGAACCTTGACAGCTAGTGACGGTGAGTGTCTCGCCTCCGGCCACGACGAGAGAAGAGGGGAAGGAAAAACTCCCGTCTTCCCGAGAATCCCTTTTGAGTGTTCCAAAAGTAGCTATTGCCGCCCCACAAGATTATAGAAGATTAACCCGTCACTCAAACTTCGTACAAAAGCAGCCGCTTCGGTGGCTGGAACGACTAGGCCATCCCCTCGACGGTAGCTTCGCCGTAGCTTTGCTCGTCCCGAGACGACCTACGTCACGATTGCGTCAGATGTCACGTGCTCTAAGCTGGGCCTTCTCCGGGCAATCGCTAGAGTGGGCCGCTTATAACAAAAAATACAGCAACCAGGCTTAAAATACAAACGTGCGATTGTCATTTACGGATATTGTGGATCATATTCAACCTATTTTTGAACACAACCGATATATTTCAAATTTCGTTGAAGTATCGCTTGGACGCAAGCTATTTGACGGGCTTATTGAAAAGCATCCAAAAAGTTTCAGTACCGACAACAGCTTAGAAACGTCCTTGCAATATTCGTCGCCCTACTCCGTTTGTTGTTCGTTTTGTAGTAAAATAAAAAGAAAAGAAAAGAGAAGGATGTCAAACCAGATTTTCGCCAACTTTATTTCCGTCCTACAAGGTTAAAAATATGCAAAAGTCTGCATGTTATCACTAAAAATCGCTACTGATGACAGCGCTTAAGACTAGCAAGCGGCGAAAAATCAAATGACCGTTTCTGAGGTGGAGCTGGAGTACATGAGATTGTCTCACCGGATATTTCAAAATTAACATCTCTTGGCTGCTTCCGCGCTTCGAAGCATGGCGACCGCGGCTGGTTCAAAAATATTTCAGAATATCCCTGTACCTATCTTATTCATACTTATTTCCTGCTTGGTTTCCTTCGGAAAAGCAAGTAAGCCTGCTGAGATGAGTTCGCGTGCTGCGTTTATTCACTCGAACCAGACATTTGGCGTAGGATGCAGTCGGCAGTCGCATTCGACCCGCTTTAAAATTCCTGCATTTTCAGATTTCAGACAATTTGCGGACGAGCCTCTGCAACTAGTTAAACCAGACCTAAACCACAAAAGGCTCGTGTTGGTGAAGGAAAATATAAAGGTAAGGAACTTAACTTATATTTCGAGGCTTCGGCTTCATTCATTCCGTGTTCGACCGCCGATGATGACAAATCTCTGCGCAAATTTGAAGAGTCTCTGCCGAGAGTGTCTTCCAAGAAGGAAGATCACCGCATTGAGGCTCTTTGTGAAGAGTTGAAAACGTCTGAGTGTGGCAAGCTATCAAAGAAAAAGAAGAAGAAAGTCACGATGTGGCGCGTTTTATTGCTCTATGGCGGGTCTTCCACAATCCGATTCATGCTTCGTGTGGGGTCTTCCTCGCAGGTCGTGTCTAAAATTGAGGGGCCCGTGGCGACCATAGCCGTCGTCGGGAAGTTCCACTCCGGCAAGTCTTTCCTCATGAACCAACTGATGGGGAAGACCAAGGGATTCGGAATAGGCCCCACGGTCCGACCTGAAACGATGGGCATCTGGATGTGGGGACAGGTACTCATGATGAGTAAAGCTATACGCACTCCGGAGTGCACTTCGGACGGAAATGGCTATACGCACTCCGCGGAGAGCTCATACCGCTTGGGCCACCCTTTCCGAACGACGCGTGTATCACTGGGGAGCTCGTTAACACAGCCCCTCGCCTGCGTTCACGCCGCTTCGCGGCTGCAGTATGCGGCTGCTAATTACAAAACTTAACCAGTACACGCCGTTTCGCGGCGTCCAGCCGGAAACCCAAGCCCCGCTGTTCCCGATCGCACCTACGAAAAGGGAGTCCCATACCATTTAGTTCTGTGAAGTTTCGTCGACAATAATGAAACATGAGGAATTACTGTTACGAACACGCTCGTTTCGTACTTAATCCGTCGACAACATTTGGTTTTTTTTAGTGTTCATCGCAAAAAAGAAATGTCGTAAATATTGCCAAATGCCTCGACAAAACAAAATGTTCGAGAAAAAAAAAAAAAAAACAGGCCCACCGGTGGATCGAATCTGCATCTACTTGCGTATAAAGCGGAAACTTTAACCCCTATGCTATGCCATCTCTTTTTTTTTTTTTTTTTTGGCAAACGAAACAAGTTTATTTACATGTTATTTGCAGACATCCTTGCAGTAGGTTCCGCAAACATTATACAAGGCCAAATTGAAAAATTCCGGAGACGAAAGCTACTTCCTCCGACCCTGCGGCAAAGCTTCACGGTACTTTTCCCGAAGAAATCTAAAAAGGGCCCTATTTCCGAGGTCGGGGACTTTCGGCCCATCAGTCTTCTTTGCTCTGATTATAAAATCCTGGCCAAGATCCTCGCAAGGCGACTTGACACAGGGCTCAAGTCCATCATAGAGCCCCATCAGACCTACAGCCTTCGCGGGAGGAAAATATCCAGGAACCTCCACATCATGCGGGCGATCGGCGAGGCGACGGCGGAGGGTCACCAGTCCCTGGCGGTCCTGCAGCTGGACATGCAGCAGGCCTTCGACCGGGTGTCCCACAGGTTCCTCCTGGCGGCGCTGGATCGATTCGGCGTGGGGGAGGAGCTGCGGGGGTGGATCGCGCTCTGCTACCGAGACATCTCCACGCGCCTTCTCATCAACAGTCAGAGGGGAGGTCCCATCTCCATCGGGAGGTCGGTTCAGCAGGGCTGCCCCCTCTCGCCCATCCTCTTCGCGCTGCAGTTGGAGCCACTCTGCCGGGCAGTCAATGCGGACCCATCCATCTCAGGTTTACGGCTTGGGGACAAAGACGTCCGCGTGCTGGCCTTCGCAGACGACGACTCGTCTATCTGCTCGTCGAAGGTGCAGGTGCAGACCATCCTGCAACACGTGGACCGGTTCTGCGCTGCCTAAGGGGCCATGATCAGCAAGTCGGCGGGGGCGTGGCTCGGTGCATGGGAGACTATGCCAAGAACTTTCGGAGGTATAGGATGGAGCACTTCGCTCGACGGCTACCTGGGTGTGCCTCTGGACCCGCAGCGATCAACGGCCGCAGTGTGGAGACCGACCGCCAACTTCGTTGCCGCCAAGCTGTCGCCCTGGCGGTGCAGAAACTTGTCTTTCTTCAGCCGAGCTCACATGTGCAACACAGTCAGCTACCCCGCCGTGCTGTACAAGGCTCAGGCCATCTGCTGCCCGGGCAGCCAGGACGGAAAGGTACACCGGAGCTGGGCCATGTTCGTGTGGAAGACTGCCATGGAAAGCACATGAAGGAGCAACCTCTTTCTGCACCAAGAGAGCGGCGGTCTGGGCCTCGTTAACATTGTGCTCAAGTTGCACGTGCAGTGTTTTCTGCTCTTCCGGGATGCGAGGGACCCGACCTTCGTCGCCGTGCTGCACCACCTTGGATTCTCACATCTCGGGAATTAGAGGGTGAGCACGAGTGGCCGTACGACCAAGAAAGCCGCCCTGCGGTTCTACAAGGAAATTGCCAGCTCCATCGAGTTTCTGCAGGCCCAATTTTCCTGGGAGTACCTGGTGACCGTCAGAAAGAGGCGGCTGTACTGGGATGCCGTTTCCGCATCCTTCTTGCCACCGCTCTACAGACAACCATTGACGCCCGACGACGCGGCGCAACTTTACAAACTCGTGCGAATCCTCCCGTCCCTGTGGCGACAAGGGACTTCTTCGTCCGGATGCACATGGAGGTCCTTCCAGTTAAAACCTGGCTCCATCACAAGGGGTTCTTCATGCCATAGTCCCTAAACTGCAACCTTTGCGGGGCGCCCGAGACCATCCAGCACGTCCTAGTCGAGTGTAGTAACGCCTACCTCTCCTGGGACGAGATGAGGACGACGTTTAAGCTCCGGGACTCCTTCGAAGTAGAGTGGAGCGCTTTCAAGTATCTGCAACTCGAGGAGAGGGATAAGACGGAGGTGGTGCACGTGATGATGTTGCTAGGCCTGCACGCCATCTGGCAGTCGCGTACCTCAATGGTGCAATGCCACCTCGACGCGCTTCCAACCTGGAGCTACTTCGTGTCCACGTTGGGGTGCACTGTTAAAAAAAACCGTAAAATTACAGGGAGCGCCAACGGGACCAGAGCCGCTCGCGAGCCGTCGTGGCCGTTTTGCCGTAAACCCCTCCACCGCACCCGAACGAACAGACATAGCCGGCGCGCTGCGCAGGCGCAGTCAATGCAGCCCTTTTATTCGGAGAGGCGGAAGATCACGTGAACTTCTTTCCCGCGCTCCCGTGGGACGCTGTCCGCGTGAAGGCACCCCTGGCGCATGCGCAGTGAACGTGTCGAGGCAGATCCCGCGCAATTCGGCGACTTTGTGGACGTGTTTTTGGTTCGCCGCACTCAAACCTGGAGATTTCACGGTAAGTGCATTACATCCCCTTCCTTGAACTGTTTGATGAATACCTGTCGCACCACTGTTTTCTTAGATGAGTCGCGCTGTTGTCTGGATTCACTATTATGCATTGCTCGCCACAAGCGTGTGCAGACGATGTGCGCCTCGCGCTGGAGGTGCGTAGCGTTTAGGGTAACGGGGTCTTTGCCTTGTTGCTTTCGAGTGTTACTCTAGCATTATCAGGAGACGTAGTGTGTCGGTGTTCTACGTTTTTCTTGCTCCCTTCTTAGTTAAATATTATTCGGCTACGTGAAACGCTCTTGGTTTAGCGCTCCGCTGGAAAGGCAGAGGTCCCTGGTCCGGTTCGAGGACCATGCACGCCGATTTTTTCGGTAGCTGCTTGTTCGACATAACGTGCTCTTGAGGTGCAATTTGTTTCGAAACATGCAAAGCGACACAGTGCAATGAGGTTTCAAGTGCCCACAATAATATACTATATACGTTTGCCCGAAGTGTAAAAAACTAGTGCCAAAATTCCTTTTTTTTTTTTTGTTCGTTTGTTACGGTAGACTTGTGTGGATTTAGGAAACTTTAAATTGATCGATTCGACCTTCGTGTCTAACACTGCCAGTACTCAAATCCTTTGCAATACGTCTTTAAGTCCGCGGTTTTTTTTTTTGTTGAGTTCGTTGAGTTTAGCTTTCTCCATTCTTTGGTGCGCTACTGTGTAGCGACGGCGCCGGACTTTACGTAATGAGTCATGACTGAAACACATTTGCGAAAAGCGGCCAAATTGTATGAAGAAATCGCAAACGAAAATCGGACAGCAACTCCTATTGCCTTCTTTTTTTTTTTTTTTTTTTTCGGCGGGGGAAACTCGGAGGGGGACGGAGCGATGTCGCAACGTTACTTCTGGAGTTCCGTCCGTTCCGTCCCTCTCCGGGTTTTCTACGCTATGGCGCAGCCGCGGCAGCCGCCGAGGCTGGTTGAGTGTCTCCGCGGTTTTTGATCAGCTTTGTACGAAGACTGATTTTCGCTGATCTTTGTCTTGTTACGTGTATGTGGTGAACGGAGCATTGCGGAGACTGAGAATTATGTGGGCTGTTCGCTGTGTTGTGGCATTCGGGCAAAGCAAGATCGCGGTGAGTTTGCTCGTGTACAGTCGGCGGTAAAAGTTTGCGGGGCGCGGGAGCGTCAGCCGAAATGACTGGTTGCGCCTTCTGCGGCGCGGCCGCTCTCAAGATTCACGCTTCGAGAATGTGCTTCCTTTCGTGCTCGAAGCCATGACTTTTTCGCTCGCTTCCGCCCGACGTGCACGAGATAACCGGGGACCGGCGCAAGGTGCCGCTATGACAGCCATCACGCCGCGCGTCTGCCTCAGCCACCGTGATGGGTGACGAAACTCGCGCATGCTACAGATAACATTTCGCGGCACCTTGCGCCAGTCCCAGTTATATATCGTGCGTGTCGAACGGAAGCGAGCGAAAAAAGCATGACCGCGAACAAGAAAGGAAGCGCGTGCGCATAGCGTGAGTCTTGGAGCAGCAACGTGCCGTGAGAAGGCGCAGCCAGTCTTTTCGGCAGGCGCTCCCGTGCCCCGCAAACTTTTGCTCCCGACTGTACGTCGGCCGATGCTCGTGTCGGTGCACATCTCAACTAAACATCGAGCGCCGATTGTGGCTGACTCCATGCATGTAAGAACGAATTAATCTAACAGGAACTTCGTGAATAAGAACGAGGCAAGCGTGTGGCTGTAGAAGGATGTCGTGACCGGTGGCATACGTACACTGGTTTCCGCACGTTGCTTCTGTTTACTTTATCTGTTGTAATAGCAGTCTTTGTACCGGTGCGTGAAGGCCTCAGTTGCTTCGAAAACCAAAGCTGATACAGCCAGTCTCTTTTTATCCGATGATTCTGTCAAGTCCTAATCACGGCGTCATATATATATATATATATATATATATATATATATATATATATATCAAGAGTGCACGTTTGGTGTTGTTTGCGTTAATTTTACTGCGGAGGACGTTGCCTTTTGCGCGGGATCAGTCTTCTCGTGTAACTTGTCTTCCAAATTTGCTTGCAACAATTTTTGCACCCTCCGATTTCCGTTCTATATTCGGTTTCTTTTCTTGTAAATGTGTTTCAGCCTTAACATTTTGCCGCGGCGCAGCTCTGTTCAGAGAAGAAACGGTCTCAGCACAGCAGGGTGCACGAAGCGCGTCGTGTGTTTAAAAAAAAAGAAAATGAAATTGGGCAAGAAATGATTTGGTAACTGCACCGTAATAAGTGGCTGCCAGCAGTGGAAAAAAAAAAAGAGATATGTTGCCTTATAGTTGGAGTTAAGTCATCTGCCTTATTGTAGTATTTGAGGTAGAAAGGAGAACAAACTAGATGCCTGGGCCGGCTTGCAAGAGACAGCGTCTCGGTTGAGACTGCTCAAAGAAAGCGCTGCCAAGGCTCGGGCGCGCGAGCGTCTAGGACTCGGTTTAAGCTCTACCACTAGCCTTGACAGCGCTTTCTTTGAGCAGTCTCAACCGAGACTCTGCTTTATGCAAGCCGGCCCACATATCTAGAAAACCAATCTTCTGCCCCAAAAGGTGGTAAAAAAAATGTGTCACATTACTGTGCAATTGCGGGGCGTTAGCGTGAAACATTTTCGCGATAGACTGCAACGCAAACAAAAAATGGAAAAGAGTAAGAAAAAAAAAACAGTAAGTCAAGCGCGAAATGCTAGGGAAAGGAAGGTGGGAGTGGAGGAAGCAGATGGATAGCTGGCAAGGAGAGGAGGAACTTCCCTTGCCAGCGTTGTTTACTTACTCCTTTCCATGTTCCTTTCCCTTGCCCTTGGCAGCAGTTTAAATCAAATAGCGCTGCGTCGTCCTGGCTTTCATTGCACTGCTCAAGCTATGAATGACAAGGCGCTATACCATTCCAGCCCAGCTCTGTTCACCTGACCTCTCAAGCCAGATGCACAGAAACGAAAACCTAGCCGAACGTTTCACATGACAATTACTGCGGCCATTCATATCACTGCCCAATGTTAGCATGCTAGACTGTAGCTCCTCATGGCTCGGGCAACCTAAAAGAACACGGAAACATAGTTTTGTATGTTAAGACTGGACGACAAGACGACACGCACGCTGCAGGTGTAGACAGGCAGGTGCAGGTGTTCTATCTTTCTGGTGTAAATAGAAACATTGCCTTCAGATTAACACAGAACATTGAGGATGGCTGTTTTGTACTTCAGTTTAAACACAATGTTAGTTTTGAAACTTGATGAAAGCTTTATAATCCTTACTGTTTATGCTTTATAATCCTTACTGTGTTCATTTCTAGATAGGTGTATGTTTATGCTGTGTGTCATTATCTTCACAAGCACAGTTGATTTAATGTTCACTGACTTCAGTTATGGCAGGAATAAAAAAATTTGGGGTCAAGGATTAATATCTTTGGATTAGGACTTCGCCATGATTGCTTCGAATATTGGTAATGTTTCAGGTACCTTTATAAAAATGCAAAGATCATGTGTTTAAGTACAAAATCGTGGAGAGAAAAATTTTTTTTTTGCAGATCTTGGGACTTAAAGTAGACCTTCAATCCGAAAAAAGAAAGCCAAATTGTTCAGCTCTCATGTCGTCTTAGGATATTGTATTTCTCAGGGTCCCAACAAACATGTTCAATATTAAATCAACTTGAAATAAACCAAGCACTCCTTTTTAATTATAGATGAGACATCACTGCAAAAGATGCCAGAAAAAGTTTACATCATTGGACACGTTCTTCAAGCACACATTATATCATGAAACGTCATCAAGAGGTGTTCCATGCAGCGTTGTCGGCTGTGAGGCTGCATTCAAAAATTACAACTCATTGCGAAGCCACATCACAAGGTGTCATTCTCCGCTTGCACCTCGTAATGCAACTAACTTCCAATCCTGCCGGACATGCAGTGTTAGTTCCTGCAGTGAAGAGGTGAGCCCTGGAAAGGCTTTTATCGAGCACCTCAAAAAACATCTCACCGGCAACCCGCCAACTGTTGTAACTTGTCCAATTGATGTGTGTGATAGCCAGCTTAGGACATGGGGTTCACTCAAGACCCATCTTTCCATATACCATGGGAATGGAAAAAAAAAATCAGTGGTGACAGAGCCAGTAGAGCAGGATGAAATAGTGACGTCATGCTGTAGCAAGGATGACAATGGTCTGGAGAACATTAGGGGAAAACCAGATGTTGAGAGTGAAGTGCCTTCAGTCATTGATGATGTGGATCCCACTCACTTAGATCAAGACTCTTTCCTTGAAAGCATGGCCCTTTTTACTTTGAAGCTTGAGTCAAAATATTTGATCCCGTCCTCAATCGTCCAGGATATAGTTGCTGACGTGAAAAGACTTCATGGCATTTCACAGGAGCATCTTATGACTGATTTGAAAGCTCACCTAACCGATAAGATGTCAAGAGACCAAATGACTGAGGCAATTGACCACTCCTTTGGGAAGAGTCCTTTGTCTGTTGCATTTTCAAGTGATGGAGCTCTTCGCTCAAGCTACATGAGAAATGTTTACTACACTAACAAACTTCATCACAATAAACCAGTCGAAATCTCTCTTGGATTAGACTATTCCAACGAAATGCGACATTACAGCTATGTGCCCATAAAGGTGACACTTCATTCGCTGCTTTCTAACCCAGATGTACTGTGCAAACTCTGTTTCAACGCGCAGGGAGGCAACGATGGTGTGTATCGGGAATTCACAGACGGCAAAGTTTTTCAAAGCCGGATATCATCCGATGGCAGTACTGTATCGGTAATCTTATACCAAGATGCTTTCGAAGTCGCCAATCCCCTTGGATCAGCCCGTGGAAAGTTTAAAATGTTAGCGGTATACTTCACGCTTGGAAACCTACCAGCTTACCTCAGAACCGTAGTTGACCCTCAACAGCTTGTTTTGCTTTGCCATGATAAAGACTTTAAACACTTTGGTTGTAGGAAGCTCTTCGAGCGACTCATCAGTGACCTCCAAGATCTTGAAGATGGCATCACAGTGAACGGGCACCGTTACGTTGTGCAGCTTGCTTTTATATGCGGTGACAACCTTGGAAGCCATAGCATTGGCGGCTTTGTGGAGAATTTCAGCAGGGCCTCTTACATATGCCGGTACTGTGTTACAACCATGCAAGATTTTAGGAACAACAAGCCAGCAGAGCTTCGAACTGTTTCATCATACACTGAAGCAGTCAACCGTGCTAAGGACAGCCAAGAACAGGGTTTTATGGGAGTCAAACACGACTCTCCATTCAACAAGCTTTCAACATTTCATGTCTGTCTTCCTGGGCTCCCGCCATGTCTTGGGCATGATCTTTTTGAAGGTGTTGTTGACTACGACGTTGCACTGATGATAAAATATTTCGTGAAAACACTGAAATGGTTCTCTTACCACCATCTTAATGCAACAATACAGTTCAAATTTAAGTACAACGCGTGTGACCAAAGGAACAAGCCAGCTCCAATGAACATAAGCGGTAAAAAGCTTGGAGGCCAGGCACTGCAAAACTACACTCTTTTGTTACTTCTACCAATAATGGTGGGAGACAAAGTTCAGGATGCAACTAACGAAATGTGGCGTCTCCTTTTGACTCTCCAACAGGTTGTAGAACTCGTCATGGCAACTGCCATTTCAGATGATCAAGTGTCATATCTGGCACTCTTGATCAGTGATTACATCTGTGAGAGGGTAAGGTTGTTTCCAGCTGTTCCACTTCGTCCAAAGCATCATTATTTATTCCATTATCCTTATCTCATTAAACAGTTTGGACCACTCGTGAAAGTATGGTCTCTCCGATTCGAAAGTAAGCACAGCTACTTCAAACGTTGCATTAGAGCATCTGGCAACTTTATTAATGTTACGAAGTCACTTGCTCAGAAACACCAGCTCCTGCAGTCTTACTTGCAAAAGGAAGGCTTGTTTGGACCAGCTGCGGCGTTCAGTGACCTGACTCCTGCATCTAAAATAGCCAGTTTCGACAAAAACTTGTGGTGCTTCATTCAGAAAAACTTGCCCACTAGTCATGAAACCTTGATGACTGCTTCGTCAGTGACACTATGTGGCACACATTACAAGCCAGGTTCTTACATAGTGCTTGGTGGGGACCAGTACAACCTGCAGTTCGGCCAGCTTCTGCATATTGTGGTAGAGTCTGGCCATGAGGCAACTCCATTACTTCTTGTGAAAAAAGCAGCGTCTGCATTCCTCCCAAACTTCAGGCTCTACAAGTTGATGGAATTGGAAGTGGAAGAGCTACAGTTGTTGTCTTCCTCTCAGCTGATGGACATACATGCATATGTCCCGTACAGACTCCTCAACTGTCTTGTGATCAGGCTGCGGAGTTCACTATTGTTCGACGATTTTGAAGGTATGATACCAGTGATTTGTGTGGAAATTACCTTAAATTTAAAAACGGGGGACACCCTGCAACTCACTTTTTCAGTATAGCACAGACAATTGGAAAATGTAGGCCAAACAAAAAACCTCTAGGCAGGCTTTTCTTGTTTTTTTAAATATATTATATCATTCGTTGCAAGTTTTTACTAAGGTGCTTTCATGTGCGCTTCGCATAGGGTGATGCCAACTGCCTGTTTCCCTTTCTCACACCCTCGTCCACCGCCATTTTGTTCCTAATTGTTTCCCCGTGCGCCGAAAAGTGGCCTTTGTGTCCATCGGTCCTCCCATCCGAGGGGGGAAATGCTAATCCTCCCTCCGTGGGTTCCACAACGCTGCTCCGAACTTGTGAGATAAGGTGCTTGTTTCCGGGAGGGTTATAAGCCCACGGATTATCGCCAAGGACCAAAATGGCTGCTGGTTTGTCGGTGAGTGGTATTACAAAGGGTGGCATCACCCTAGCAAAGCGCACATGAAGGCTCCCTAGTTTTTACACCCGCAATGTCTAATAACTTTAATTTGCAGTAGTGGGGAGTAACGTAAATAGGTTTCCATTTGGAAAAGTCGTGAAATTATCAGGGAATATCGTCAAAACGTTGGCCCCACCAGGGAAAATGATCAGTAAAAGTGGAATGGCAATGCGGAACAAAGCTAGATGGTTGCGCATGAGCACAGCCATGTCGAATAATGTTTCTGAAATATGATCCTTTGACCCGCAAATGCTCACGGGATTTTATCAAAATAGTCAAGGGAAAAACTGGGAAAAGTCGGGGAATTTAAGATCACTAATTTTGTAGACACCCTGTTAAATTGTAGCAATGCTTTACCAGCTAACTTGCACCCTTATTTTTTTTTTCTAAATTACAATTGTTTTGTAGCAAATAACATAAACTTTGCATTTGTACGTTCACTGTTTTTCAGATGATAGTCAAGATCTGGAGCCTTGATAAAACAATAAAGAAACTGGCAGTGGTTGCCACTTTCGACGCCATAAAGAAAAAGGCCATAGAGTTCGGTATATGCTGCAATGGAGACATCAAGGTTTGTAAAATAATTTCAGCAGTTGAAATTATGTACTTAGTCATTCTTATTCTCAAAATAACATACCCTGTTTCCAGGTACACATGCTGGATGGAACGGAGGTGGACGAAGAAGCTTTCAATTGTTTGAATCAGTCATCTGAGGATGCTACTTACACCTTCATTGCAACAACAGATTCTTGGGTGTCAGGCAAGTCCAAGCTTGAATTTACTTTAGGAATGGGGGAGTAGTAATTTTTCAGTTAAAAGCAAATGTGAAGCAAATTATAACGTAATATGAGAAATGAAAAATAACTTCGAAACACCTAATTTCATAGAACGGAAAAAAAGAACTTATTTAATTGATAAAGGTTCCCTAGCAAAGTTTCTGCCAATTAGTCTTTATTTATTATGCAGGCAATTAGCAACAGACGTGCAGTATAGAGTTTTTGCTTCAAACGTAACACTTCGATGGCATAGAAGTTTCAAAGACTGTAACCACAAACTACAAAGAAATGCACTTGGATTATTTTGCTTGGAATTTTAGTTACACAATATAATAACAATATTTATTAATATTCTAGAATATGTCTACTGTGCAGAAAAGTGAGCTGGTATTCTCTTTCGAGAAATTGGAAAACCTATAGGTACTGTGCTCATCGTGTTTTGTAAGCGAACACATGAAAGACATAAAAAGTTAGCTTATTGGTCTTCTCTGACAGAACTCAGATGCACAAGAAGAGAACAAAACAAGCAATGACACTGGCACCAGTGGTTGTATTTACCGGAATGAATAGCCAACACTCTTAAAGGCTGACGAATGCAAAACGATTAGGAAGCTGTCCCTCGCTTTCCTCGTTTGCACCCCAAAGAGGAAGAGACACTGCCTCCTCTCTGTGGGGGCTAGTTTTTGGATATTCTGTTTTCGGGGAAAGAGGAGAAAAGAGTGCAAGAGGGAGGGGAGAGGACACTACGGGAGGGATTTCAGCCATGCAGAAAGTGCTCCCTGTGCGTCTGCCTTTAAAGGGAAGTAAAGAGGTTCTTAAGAAAACTGAGTTTGAGCCAGATTACAGCATAATGTTATCCCGTGAATCCTGAAGATTAACTAAATGCGAGAAAACTCGAGAGACCTTAGGCCGGTCGTTGCGTCATATCCAGATTTTTCGGCCGCCAAGCGTGTTTTGCTCATGTGGGCAGCACATGGAATTGCAAGCTTGCCAGGTATATTACCCTGCATGTGACACTGGTTGTGACGTTTTTGTCTGGCCTTTCTGACAATATCAAGAGTGCACGTGCATAGCTTTGATGGGCATTGTAGGCACGCAAGAGCAGAAGTTCCGACAAATCTGGGTATGATGTCACGCTCAGAGATGACAGGGCTTTGGCGCTATTTCCAAAGCACTGTTACGACTGCTCCTCGCATCAGACTGAAAAATAATTCCAATATTCGTGGTCTTGGGGGCCAAAAGAAGATAATTAAAGTGTTTAATTTTTCGAAAATACAGAACCACTTTAGTTTTCCTTTAAGGCTTGTCGTGGCAAAGCACACTTTTTTGTTGTGAAGCACAAAAAACAGGTCCACATGCCAGTAGGCTCATACGAACGGTGGATCAAGCTTGTTGAAGGGCACATCAAACAGTCGGGTGGTGCAGGCTCTTTAAGGGAAGCCATTTATATCAAATAACTGGCATAGATTGATCATCTCTAGGCCTTCAAAAAGACCAAAGGAAAAAAGAAATTACTTGCTTGAGCTAAAACGTGTTTGTCAACCTTGCTGGCCTAGTCATTGTTTTAACTTGTTCTCGAACGTTTCGTCAGCTTGTACAGCTAGCCGACACCATCAGATATGATGTTGCAAGGAGATACTTTACACAGTATGTCTTTGCAATCGGATGAGGCGGGATGGCGGTTGTTATGATAAAGCCAATTTCCTACTTTTGATATGATTACATAAGTACCATGTCTTTTATGTACCTCCCTCAAGCTCCATTGCTTTGCATCGTTGCTCTGTGGTAGAGCATCTTGGTGGCCCGAAGTTTGGATGTCGACCTCCTTCAGTTACTGTCGCATTGTATTTTGAAATACCACAGCCAAAAGAAATGTTCCCCTAAGTTTAAACTGAATATGGTGCTGCACTGTTATTTTATTATCACTATTCTTTTCTTTGTCTGCCTCTTTTGGAATGATGTTTTGCTCTTCGTTTTCAGGTCAGCAGGGGGATGTAACATCAACACAACATGAAGGTGTCGATGTGCCTTTTGGTTCACAAGTTCAGTTTCCCTGGAGCAGCCTTAGCAAAGACGTCATGAAAGCATTGCAAGAGGGGACTCAACTTAATCCGACTGACCGACAAGAAGTTGTGCGCATGGCTGCCGCGGCCTGTCAAAAAGTCAAGGCTAGACCATCTGCACGTGAAATAAGGAGTGCTGCCAGTTACCTTGTTGACAAGTACCCTGGGGCACTTGGGGACCCCACTTCCTGCTCAGCTACGTCAGTTTCTTCTGTAGGCCTGGCCTACAAAATAGAGAACAGAATAGAAAACAACAGAAGGGGATGCAAGCGCCTTGTGGAAGTGCTCAGTGGTGGAACCATCAAGCTAAAGAAGCAGACATCTCGATCAGCTTACGGTTGTGTGAACTGGCAGCCAGCTACTACGAGTTCTTCACTTCATGAAGTGGAAGCCTCAAGAAAGTTTCTATTGGACGAGGCATTGAAGTCGACATGTGAACAAGACGTTTGCCTTCAAACAAAGGCCATGGCTGAGTGCTACCCCCACATCAGGACGTTCATAAATTCGTCAGAGCCTCCATATTCAGCATTGGATGTCAAACGAGCGTGGCCACTTCTGTTTGTGAGGGAGCACCTCCTTGATCACTTCCATAGGTATAATTTTCATAAATATTTGTCCATGAGTTTACTCAGGTTTAGAGTTATTTACAGGGTGTCGAAAAATGCAAAGCTATAGTTATAGAATTGACGGCAATGGGAGCTGCAAATTTGACAAAAAAGTGTTCCTTTTATTATTAACCATTATAATGCTCGGGCTTGGTGGCCACTGTTTTAGTTGCATATGGACTAGGGCAGCGTGAGTAAGCAATTAGAATGTGGGGAATATCATTAACTATAAATGTAACTATGGCTTCAATGTTCTGGTAGAGCAGTCACAATAGCATGTGGTAGAGGGCAAGAAACATTTCAGCACTGCAGCATGGAGGCACACATAACTGAGTGAATATAAAAAGAAGGCAAATTGGAAACTTGCAGCAGTTTCAAAGTTTTTCCTGGCATGTGTGCTTGAAAATCTTTTTGCACAAATATACCTTTTTAAAAAGGCAGAATATGTTCAGTTCTTTGCAAGAGTCACTCACTCCTAAAACAAACATACACTATTATGCTTATAAAAAGGTGCTTTAAACGACGAATACGATTGCTACTTTCACCATACAGTGGTCCTTGCAGATTTCTTTCCTTCAATATTTTGCTTTTCGCAAAAAGGTATTTTGATTACAAAGATTTTGGATATGAGGAGTCAGTGATAACATGAATTTTTTAAGGCTTACAGGTGTCTGTCTGGACGGAAAATTGAGCCTGCCCAAAGATGTCCTCCTCCTCGTGACATTCCTACGTTCAAGCCCCAAAAATGATGCTGTGCTCGAGTGGAGCCTCAAAATCAACAAGGCCGAGGCAGAGTTCAAAGATCAAAACGCAGCAGCTGTCTGCCTCCTCCCATTGCTTGCATCCTACTTTCAAGAAAACCTCGGAGAGCTCTTCCAGTTACATCAGGTAGGAGCATTCATAATAAGCAGGCTATTTGTTTCCGAAGACACATCCTCATGACCTTGTTGAAAATAACTTCCTGGAAGTCTCACACAGGCAGTCAGCATTCCACTGAGAAACTATGCATCTGGAAATACTAAACTTTTCTTCATTTTTTTAAATTTTCAGCTATATCAGTCTTCCTGTATACCGTAACATACCGGTCATGCACCTATGTCCGAATAGGCGCCTACCTAGTGATTTTTAACCATTGGAGCAATGCCTTGTACTCTTTCTGCAGTTTCGCTTTCTGAGCGACCATCCCCCCACTTTTTCAGAATTGTCTGCAAAATCTTTGTGAACGCTTTCTTGGTATCTGACGACAATGCTGATAATGAGCACGTAAAAAGTGAAATTACTATTGCTCTACGAGGAGCCAAACCTTCCTTAATCTTTTCCTGGCTGAGGTGGCTCAACTTATTATACTTCACATTAGAGTGCAATGGGAAGATATGCGACTCTAGGCTGGGTCATCTTATAGTATGTTCTACATAAATATTTCACTAAACCAAAGGGGGAGCGGCGGTGGGCGCCCACTCTTGTACCACTTGCTTCTAATGGGTTCACATGATGTTTTGTATTTTTGGGATCGAGTGTTAGAGTTAACACAAAAATTATGCTAGAGAATTAACTAGTGACAAACGTTTGTACTTCCACTTCGACTCCTAAGTTAGGATCATTTGTTTTTAATATTAGCAACTTCCTTGTCCCGCAGGTGTAACAATGAGGCTTTGTGACAGATATCAGCAGATACATTGCTGCTTATTTAACATTGTTTTTTAGTTGTTATTGAGCGTTAGGACAACAAATGTTTGTAGTTAAAAATGTCCTTATTAGTGAGAAAATAACAGGAACCGCATCCTTTCCTGTAGGTGGGATGAAGGGTTAAAGGAAATAAGGGTGAGATGAAAATAAAGTGGGTGAGACGAACCTCTTTCACATAAGTGAGGGGTGAATGGAGAATAGCCTTTTGGTATTCCCGAATACCCGTGGGATTAACAGACTCTTTCAAGGTTTGGGGTTCTTGCATGTGTGGGCAGTACCAGGAGTGCGCTTCTGAGACTGTGACCTCGCAGTGGGTGCATAGGCTCTTGTCTTTATCCTGTGTATGGCGGCTTATGCACCATGTTCTTGTGGGTGTTACATTTTGCTGTTTCCTTGGAAACCATAGTGGTGTGGGTCCGTTGTCTTTTCAGGCGCACCTCTTCCCACCTGGTATAATTACCATCTGGGAGTGGGTCTAAGTCTTCTTTGAGTAGAGCCGTGAGGTGTTTTCAGTGGGCCTGTTGTTTGGCTTCCTGGGAGAATGGGGGATCCTTTGTGTCTTTTTCAATGAAGGTGGCGCTGTTGTCACCAAGGATAGTAAGGATAAGGGAAGACAGGAACTCGCATGCGGCGGCAGACACTGTTTTATTTACTTGGGAATGGTTTGGTGTACCAGGAAGCAGTGGATTTAAAGTTGTCGGCCTTCCTGCCAGAGTCCTTTGAATGTGCCTTACACTCGTCGTGTGTTATCTTGGAGCTTGCACCTCAGTTGTTTACGGAGCTTCTGGGTGTATTTTTTATCTTCACCGTGGTTGCATTGAAATTGGCTTGGAGTTTTCAGTCCTTATTTCTCCTGTAACATTGTTGGGCTTGCAGTCTGATAGCACGCATGTTGAGGAGATGAAGGTCGGGGTCTGGGTCGTCTTGTTTAACTTGGTACTTCTGAGTGGATGTGGCTTTCGTTATTCGCTCACCTAGCCACTTTTTCAGGTGCTAGGTTAATGAAGCTGATCTGTCATTTAGTGTTGGGATGTCTTTCTGTCATTAATTCTATTTCGACGGGTAGGTGCTTGCTTCCCAAGGCGTAGGAGCAGTTCGCACTCGGGCTTGGATGTTGTGTATGGCCCATGTCAAGTCTTGTGGTGTCGTTCTCAGTGCGACGTTTGCCAATGCGAATGGCAGTCTGTTTTTCTTTGAGAATTCATAGATTGGCCTGCTTGGCGGGTGTGAAGACATTGCACTCTCTGTCATTGTCTCGTTTGTACCCCATATTCGTGCATCTGCGGTAAAGTCGCCGGCCACAATAAGTTCTTCGGGCATCATTCTTTGCGATCCGCCTTACGTCGTCTTGCTTGTGTCCCACAGTTCTACATTCTGTGGGAATAAATATAGACCCATAGATGTATGGTACCTTCACTAGCATTTCGTGCATTTCTCAATTAACCACACATGTTTTCTGACTTTTCTTAGGTGACAACAGAAATCACAGAGGAGTTTCGTAACAGTCTGCCTGCTTCTCCTGTAATTGTTGCACTGGGTGAGCTTCATGTGTCTTTTCCTTGCATGCTTTGTATTTTTGAAGGTGCTTTCTTTTTTAATTTGTGTTGAATTTTGGAACAACAACCTAGACCGTTTTATCGTGGGTAGTGCCATTTTGAGAGTGAGAGAGAGAAGAGGGGTCAGTGCAGATGACTCCTAGTGACTCAATTGTAGTGGAATACTGTAGTGGTGTAACCAGAGTGCTGGAATACTGCAGTGGTGTAACCAAAGGGTGGTGTGCCGATTTTGATTAGAGCTAGATAGACAACCACATTGTTTGGTTTCGGCAGCCTTATCAAGCACCAATGTAAAGCACATGTCCTGGTATTATACCATACTTCGACAATCAATGTTTGATTGATCCAGCAAGAAAAAGAGAAGTTTTTATTTTGGTTTGTGAGTGCAGGTGCCACAAAACGGCATACAGCCCAAACAGCAGGTGCCTGTGAGGCATTTGATTGTTTGGGCCTGCATTCTGTGTCTTGTCCAACCCGAACAGCCAAATTTTCTGCTCGTAGAATGTGTGGTCGCATGCGGTCTCCGGTCATTTAATTTCTAGCTAAAGCAATTTAAACGAAACCGACGACTGGCATTGCACGTTGGCATCAGACTTCCATGCTACTGATTCTGTTCACAAACTCAACAAAAAGTGTTTGATTCTACATGCTCATATACAAATTTTTTGTTTTGTTCAAGCCTTCAGGAGCACTTTGCATAACTTAATGTCATTACTGGGTATGGTAGCTCAACACTATTTAGTGTGACCCTTATTTGGCTTGGCATATAAGGTGTGCCTTATCTGTGATTGTGATGCATCTCAGTCTCAGATCTCAGATATGCGTCACAATCCTATATACCTCTATAGAAGTTTCCAGATGTGAATATGACAATGGTATTTTTTTCTTCATTTAATGCGTGAGCGTTAAAAGCCCTATTAGAGAAAAAGCCGGCGTAGTGGTGTCGGTCGCATGACTTTTCTGGTCACTTGACTAGATAGGTCGATACATCTGATACTAACACATTTTCTCCGCATTAATTACATTAATTGCTTGTTTCTTTCCTAGGCCGCTCACTTTTCGAATGCAGCTGCCAGCTGTTTGTGGACCATGAGGTGATGGTGGAAGATGTGGGCTTTCTCCAAGCTGTGGAGCTCCTTTTCGCCCTTTATTATTGTTTAAACATCCAGTATGCCAAAGGTGCGGGAACCACACTTGAGTTCATTCAGAGGTATGGTTTATTTCCTTCATAATTTTGAGCCTCATGAGAGGCAATAAAGAGCAACTCTGCTGAATTTTGGCTGAGAAAACGATTAGTTCTCTTTATAATCATCTAGGAAGGCTACAACTGAAATCTTTCTGTATATAAAATTGGACCCTCAAAGTTTGACAAGCGCTAATCTGCTAATTTTAGCGAGCGATGTGCAGGCTAGCCAACTTTGGCACTTCCTTCAGATGTGACGTCATGTTGATGTCTGTTGTATACACCGGCTTTTTTCTCTTTCAACGCCATCACATGTCCAGTCAGTTCAGACAACACTGCCTAGAGTTGACCCAGTGAGTGGGGTAAATCACGTAATCATGCATCTGCCATGGACATGAGTGTGCATGCAACTGACGTCGCTGCTTGCCCTTTGCCGAAGTTTCGGTTTCAATTTGCGACTTGAGTTTTAAATAGCAAAGTTGCACAAACAATATTCTACTTTTCGTGAAACAGTGTAGAGTTGTTCATGAGTGCTTTTCAAAGTAAGGTCATCCACTATCTTGAAATTTTCTAAATTGAGTAGAGTTGCCCTTTAATTTGTCACTGGCTAGCCACATTTCCAAGCTCAATTTCAGAGTCCATTATTAAACCGCAATAGGGTGTTGTATTCTTAGACCACAGAATGAATAAAACGTGCTCGGGACGAAGGAGACGACAAACGTTTTTTTCAACTAAGAACAACAGGAATGAACTTAAGAGCACTCCGTGCAATTCAGACTGCCAAGAAAATGGAGAGAAAGGGAGCCAGGAAGATAAAAAGGAAAGTGTAAAGTTAGAATTGTAACTCATGCTGTTACTTCACTCTTTTTCTTATTTCCTTCCTTACAATTTTTGACACTTACCTTTCTCTCTTTCTGCCTCCCTTTCTCTCAATTTCCTTGGCGGTCTGAATTGAAGGAAGTGCTTTTAAGCTCATTCATGTTGTTAATTAAAAGAAATGTTTGTCGTCCTTCCTCCGGGTATGTTTTGTTCTTTCTGTGGTCTGTGAATTTTACCAACACACTCTTCAGTTACTTTAAAGGTTGTTATATCTTGCATAATAATTCGATTTAAAAATTTCACCTAATGTTACAATGTGACTATGTTTGATCCTATCCCAGAAATCACAAATAAATATGTCCATATATCTACTATTCCTATTGTTTTATCTTTACTGAATGTGTCATTTACTTATAATTCTATTTGGCATTCAGTTAGAAGGCAGAGTCATAAGCAGTATACATCATTAAATTATTTTTGGCTGGAAACAAATTGGAGCTTCAAAATATGTTTAATATACTCAGCTAATTATTTATTTAAGAGTTTCTTTACTGCACCACACTATTCTGTATCACTCTAAAAGTGTCTAGAAGTGATATGTGCAGATGATCTCTAATTCATAACTAAATTTGACTGATATACAACCTTTTCACAACTTTTTGAAGCTTTATTTCTGCATGTTTTAGTAGTATGTGGTTCATGTTTGATTTTGTACCTGAATACCTTTTTCTCGTCTTTATACATGTTTATCAATCGTATGTTCTTTCGACAGTGGCTGGCCAAAATGTGGCTTCCTAAAAAAAGAGAATGATTCTCTTACAACATTCCTTTTGCCATGTCTGGTGCTTTTAAGCAATCATTAACAGCTAGTTGAGTATTTTAGGTCATTCAACTGTCTGCAATACTAATTATGCAAATGACTGCTTGCTTAATTACGAGTAGAAATGCAGAGGAGGAATTGCTTTGTGACTGTGTAGGACAACAGACAAATTTTAATGCTGTATTGTAATAAAAGAAATAAGCACGAAGCAGGGATGGGCAAAATACATGCAAATATGTATCGAAATACAAATACGAAATGCTTAGTCAAAAATATATTTAATTACAAATCTAATTACTTTTGCAAAAAAGTATTTAAGTACAAGATACAAATGCAGACAGAAAAGTAGTTGGTCTCTTCCAAATACTTTTCCAAATACATTCCTTAAAATTTGCGTCAGCGACTTCAGGGCACCTGCAACAGGTTTCTGGGTATCTCATTTTAATTTTGCATCGCACACTCGGGAGTTAGTGCTCGAGGCTCTAGCAACGTAATACAAATATAATCACAAAAAACAAATGTAATCAGCTTGGACGTAATAGGTGAAAAAAGTACAGAGCTTCAAGCAGTTTTTTTTTTTGTTGTTGATTACATTTTGGTATAGACAATCAAAGAACCGAGACGACCAAGACGCGCAGCACTAGCTACAGATTTTTTTATTGTTGCAACTCGCACCATTTACAAACATCTGGATGACCCGCGCATTTAGAATGTTCGAGGCAAAGGTATGGATGGAAATCAGGCTGGAAAGCATCACAAGTTGTCACCGTCACTTATTTAGCCAGTCTGCCTGTGAACGTCGATTTCTTCACTATTCTTTCCCTGGACTAGCACCGTAATTACAAAGTCACTAAACGCTTGTGCTTGATTGAGAGACACTGCATTCGGTGCAGAACATAGTTTTCTTCCTGCTCTGGACAGTGACAATAAATTCGAGGGATGTATTTTCGCCCACAAAATTGTATTTAATTACAATTGTATTTGAAATACACACGTTTTAGTATTTAAATACACACGTCAAATACATTACAGAATTTTTAATTAAATACAAATGCAGAATACACAAAGTATTTGAAATACGTAGTTCATATACTTGTATTTGAAATACTGCCCATCCCTGGCGCGAAGTATGTACTTGTTCTTCTGATTATGTCGCTGCTATAAAATTTACTTTTGTTTGCTTCCAAAGCTTCTCCCAAATGACTCAAATCAATTACATCGCTGTCTGTTCAATATCTTTTTAAATCAACATGTTTTTAGTGTTTTGTAGTTCTAAAAGTTACATTATATGAATCCTACCCCTTAAGATGTGCCACATGGGGCTTATAACTTCTGAAATATTCCGAGTTCTGTATCCCCATCGCATCTGAGTGAGGGAAGCCTTGAGTGCCAGATTTTCTCCTCTTGCAGAAAAATTACACCTTATTACAATATTTTTTTTGTTGTTCCCTCATTGTTTTATTTTCCTCAAAATCTAGGCATGAATTTGTACCTTGACATATTTTCTTTAAGTGCACAGTCTGCTGGCCTAAATGTAGGTTTTGCTCAGCTTGTTATGGCTTAATTGGTATTTTAGGAACCTTCAACACACTTATACTTTTGAACTGTGCACCTATGTGACTTTGGTGGCAAAGCTTGGGGCTTTCGACATTAGTTGTGCATGTAAAATATCAGCAAGTACTGATCCCAAATCCTTCACTGCAATTTTTTTTCACTTGTCTGGTTTCTGACCAAATACTTATGGGCCAATCTGCTATTTGTTTCAGATACCAAGTTGGTATCAAACAACATGATGGGTCACGACAGGAGGCCGGGAGGTCGAAAGGAGCTCGGGCAAGAGCAATCAAAGCCGCCACAGATCTTGCTGCTTTTGAGAAAAAATGGAACAGTGTGAGTACATATTTGATTTGGCATGTGTACGATGTGGTATCAAAAGGTTTCCAGTCTTGTTTTGTATTAAAAAGAAAAGCAAATAGCGGCACGACACTGCATTCACAGGGGTCGAGGGCAGCAACCTTGATCTGTCATGGTGCTGAGTGGCTCAATGTGGCAATGCACAGGCGAGTTGGTGTATGATTACAACTGGTAGCAGCATGCAAAAAACACACGGACAAAGGGACGAATGCACAGGACTTCGGTGTTTCCTTTTCATTAAACATTTAGTTGAAGTTCAGCGCTCGCCTTGTGCATTTCCTCCCTTTGTCCTTGTGTTTTTGCGCGCTGCTACCAGAGGCTTAGAGCATCGCTCTGTGAGCTTGGGAGCCCCGCTGTACAGGTTTTTGTGACTTCATGTGCGTGCGCCTCTGCAATTTGTGCAAGTGGTTGTGGTCCTCACGTAGCCTTTTCAATCATCTGAATATGAATTTGTTTTATTTTCAGCTCATCTGATGATCGATCGGATGCCATGAAGGTTTCTTTATAATTATGTTCTTTTACGGTTTACAATATAGTTCTTCAATTTCAAAACTGCCTCCGTTTTGTCGTGTCCCTTTTTTCAGACACACTACACTTGTTTATAAGGATTTGTCGTTATATTACGGAACTGTACTGCGCTAACTCATGATGCCAGACGTTATCTGTAACCCTCCGTAATACTACCAGGGCCGTAGCTGAGAGTTCACATTATTGTTACTGTACAGCGAGCACACAGCGATAGAAGTGCAGTACGCAAGTACGGGATTAAAGCTGCAAACTAAACTTGAGGTATGCAAGCCGTCAAGCGTTCCGACGGTATTGAAGGCGTAAGGGAAGGGTACGGTAACTGAACTGTTACCGTTACAATACGGCAATGGAAGTGCAGTATGAAAATACGGGACTGAAACCGTACCCTTCCCTTACGCCTTCAATACCGTCTGAACACTCGACGGCTTGGATACCTCGAGCTAAGTTTGCGGCTTTAGTCCTGTACTTGCGTACTGCGCTTCTATTGCTGTATGTCTGCTGTACAGAAATGATAATGTAAACTGTCAGCTACGGCTTTGGTGGTATTACGGAGGGTTACAGATAACGTCTGGCATCATGAGTTAGCGCAGTACGGTTCTGTAATATAACGGCACTTTTTTTAACAGTGTGGGTGCTCTCGGTGACGTCGTGGCAGGTGAATGCGGGTGATTGGGAGTGCATCAAGCGAGAACTCGAGGAAGGGCGTTGCCGATGCGTGCAACGACGTACGTCAAGCGTGGGAAACTGGCGAGTTCCTGTGAACTGTAGGCGCGTTGGCGTTGGCTGAGGTGCGTGGTGCGCAAAAGTGGACCGTGGCTATTCCCCCTTATAATTGCGCGTCTATATTGCTCGATTTATTTATATATTTTTTTCGTACAGATTGTATAACTGTTGACGCGGTCTCATACTGTATCGTTTGTTTCCTCTGAATAGTTTCCTATGCTATGCTATCGCTCAGAAAACTCGTTGTGACCATTTGTTTTATACGAGTTTAGCGGAGTGCATATAGCCATTTCCGTCCGAAGTGCACTGTGGAGTGCGTATAGCTTTACTCAATAGAGTGTGATAATATTTGTGCTTACTACAATGTGATTCTGGGTGGCGTGCAAGGCTGTGCAGAAAGGTTAGAACCTGTACGCGAGCATGTCTGCCAGCCCGCCACTGAAGAGGTAGGGTCCACGAACGTTTGTCTTTCGTGGTTCGCTTGCTTCCTGGTGTTTTTTTTTTTTTACATACCTTTTTTACGCTGCCTTGCTCTTTGTGTTTTTGTAAACAATAAACAATTTTCTCAGCGATATACTCGACATATCTTGTAGCAATACAGGTTGTAATCACATTTTTACTGGCAGCAATGTACCCCTCGGGTTCAACTAAACGAAAGCTGAACAGTTTTTTTAATCGCAGTGTCTATAGTTACGTCCGAGAGAACCCAACGTCGCTGTACATAAATTTTTTTTAATTGCATCCGACATAACCCTAAAAAAACAAAATTAAAGTTATATCCGACATAATGTAAAATAAAAATTAAAGCTACATCCGAAATAACTCCACTTAAATATTTTATGTTATGCCTGGCGCAATTCTAGTTTAGTACTTAAAATCATGTTCTGACTGTCCTGAAATTTTGAAAAAAAATTCGTGAAATCTCTAACGTGAGGGTCCATGCCTTCACCACTCTTCAGTGGCAATTTGATTTAGCGTGTAGCCGTGACACAAACGCACTGGGGGTTCTCCGCTCTTTGACCGCGGTATTGGTATCGCATGCAGCAACCAGTTACCAAATCGTTACAGAAAGTTTGAGTATGTAACCTTCTAAGAACTGCAAAAAGAGAAAACATAATGTCACCTCTTTTGCGTGTTGAAACCAACTGAATGCAACGACTTTGTCCAGCCCCCTCTGCCACGACGTCAACTAAGGCCCCGGCTGAGGGGCGTGGAACTACGTGATTTTATGATTACAACATCGTAACTTCATTTCAGTTTTGTTTGAATAATCTGACAAAGCGGGACACAAGACCCAGTTTCCTAGTACGTGGGACGTAACCTTAAAGGAGCTATGCAACAATTTTTGTACTTTGCGCAAATACCGCTTAAAACGGATCCCTGACGTTAATGACCTATGAAACACGCGTTCATTTTTCACCCCACGCAATAGAAGTCCCAGAAAAAAATTTAAGAAAAACGAGCAGCGTTCACCCCCTCAACTCGCAGCCAGAACAAGCGGCCACGTGATCTGGAGCCGATTATATGCCGCCAGCGTTGATCATAGCCACGCGCTGGGGTTGGCAAAGCGCAGGACACGCGCTGAGTTCCAGACATTGTTATGGCTCGGCTGTTGTCGTCGTTGCAGCGATTGGACACGGGTCACAACCCGAATGCTTCTCGAGCTAGCAATTGTCACGAGCCCAAGTCGAATGCCCACGCAATGCTCGGGTCCAATCCATGAACCGCATTCAAATATCGTCACTTGGGTGCACTGCGATCCCCGAGTTACGTCATCAAATTTTGCAGAGGAGAGATTGAATGAAAATTATCGCTTTTGTCCTTGAAATTACACCGCAGCAAAGGAGTTTCTTGGCCAGTGGCGTTGCGTGTGAGTATCCTTGAGTCCCAGGTGTGCCAGTAAGCTCGTGTCAAGTGAAAAACATTCCAATTGAATATTGTTGCACCGCTCCTTTAAATTGTATTGTAGGTTACGTCAGACGTAACTTTAACTTTTGTTTTTGGGTTACGTCGGACGTAACACTAGGCACCACATTTTTTTTTTTAATTTTAAAAAGCTGTAAGAGTAAAAATTACATCAGATGTCACCGATTATGTGTCGACACTTTTTACAGTTAACGGGGGGAGAGAGGTTCGTTGCAAGCCGTGTGGCAATCGGTGCAAGTGTTTTCTAATAAAAACTTTTCAGTTTCAGTCCTGCCCAATTTTCGTGCAGGAACTGAATTCAGGAGCCAAACCATAGAGAGTCTTTCCTGACTTCTTTGAGCTTCCCTTTAAAGGAGCTGTGCAACGATATTCAATTGGAATGTTTTTCTCTCTACACGAGCTTACTGGCACACCTGGGACTCAAGGATACCCACACGCAACGCCATTGGCCAAGAAACTCCTTTGTTGCGGTGTAATTTCAAGGACAAAAGCGATCATTTTCATTCAATCTCTCCTTTGCAAAATTTGATGACGTAACTCGGGGATCGCAGAGCACCCAAGTGACGATATTTGAATGCGGTTCATAGATTGGACCCGAGCATTGCGTGGGCACTCGACTTGGGCTCGTGAGAATTGCTAGCTCGAGAAGCATTCGGGTAGTGACCCGTGTCCAATCGCTGCAACGACGACAACTGCCGAGCCATAACAATGTCTGGAACTCAGCGCGTGTCCTGCGCTTTGCCAACCCCAGCGCGTGGGAATGATCAACACTGGCGGCATATAATCGGCTCCAGATCACGTGGCCGCTTGTTCTGGCTGCGAGTTGAGGGGGTGAACGCTGCTCGTTTTTCTTAAATTTTTTTCTGGGACTTCTATTGCGTGGGGTGAAAAACGAACGCGTGTTTCATAGGTCATTAACGTTAGGGATCCGTTTTAAGCGGTATTTGTGCACAGAACAAAAATTGTTGCACAGCTCCTTTAAGTTGCTATTTCTCTTTTCTTTCTTCCTTACTCATCAAACACTGTGTTGCTATATGATTGTGGCGAGTAGTATAATACGAAGCTATTAACTCTGAATTTTCTGAATAATGGAGAAATCTTTAGAATTATTGACCTAGAAAATTGCCAACCTTACCTATGAAGAAGAAATAGGAAGAATATAAAGAAACTGACTATGAAGGCCCAGCATGTGCCATAACGACCACATATCATGGCACAGGCTACACGTGCGATTTATGGTGACCAAAATATTTTTCTTCCTCCTTTTCTATTAAAATATCTAGTTGCGAGTCAGCACTCTGTTCTATCTGGTGTGTCTCTTCCCTTTATGTCCTTTTGCGCTGTGTATTTTTTTATTATTTACAACCTTACCTCGCTTTCAGCCACTGAAGGTCAGGCTACCCTCAGGGCAGAATTTATCTCTAATCTTCTTGGACACTGAAGGCAAGTGGTTTTATATCTTGCATCTCATAGAGCCAAAGTTAAGCCTAATGAATTTTGTTGCAGGCTTTGCCGCAAACAATGTCTCTGAAAACTATGATGCCAAGATTTTTGCTGTTGCAACCCTTATCAGCTCGCACCTGATCTACAACTCAGTCAAGATAATCGACCAAGCTGACATTGACTACCTGGAGCTGTTGGCCAGACGCACACAGGCAGGATACCTCCTTTTTATGTGATTAGATTTCCTAAAACGAATCTGCCATCAAGAAACATGCTCCACCCCCGAAAGATAACCCACCCCTATGTTTGGCCCAATTTGATATTGTTTTAAAAACACCGTAAGATAGTCAACTTTCAGTAATTCCAGGGCCCTGGCCAATTCTGACCTCGGGAGAAATAGTGTTACTTAGCCACGACGGGAGATAAGCGAGCATTGTTGACTGGGAAGGTCAGTCACTAGTTCCATAGGTCACAAAATCCAAAACTACAGTAAAGTTCTGAGAGAACACCCGGCCCTGGGAGATCGCCCATCCTGTTTTTCTGGCTAAATATCTGTAAAAATAAGAATTCCCAAACATCGCCTACCCCTTGATTCTTGTTGGACGTCGCGCGATGTTTGACGAGAATCTCATCAACTGCGCAGTTTGCTGTACCGGCACGTCTAACAAGCGAGTTCATAGCAGGTTCCCACGTTCTTGTCTGCGATCTGCGCACGCGATATCGGCTCTCTTAACACGCGAGTTGTTCCCACGTGTATGTTCCACCGTGAAATGCGAATCTGCTGCGTCTGCAATCTGGTATCCGTTCCCGTGACATAAAGTTTGTAGCGGATTCCCGCCTGTATATTGCATCGTGAAATACGATTTTGCTGCGTTCGCAATCTGTGTTACTTTTTCCCTTAACATAAGGGTTTGTAGCGGATTCCCGCATTTTTGTCCGCGATCTGCGCGCACGGTATCGGTTCCTGTGACGGGCCAGTTCGTAGCGGGTTCCCGCGTGTTTATTGCACCATTAAACTTGAATCTGCTCCGTCCACGATTTGCGGTATTTGTTCCTGTGAGATGCGAGTTCTTGACTGGTTTCCGCGGGGCCTTCGCACCGTGAAGCTCGAATCTGCTGTGTCCACAACCTCCGGTATCCTCTCCCGTGACGCAGGATTTTGTAGCGAATTCCTGCGTGTTTATTGCATCGTGAAACACAAATTTGCAGTATCGGTTCCCGCGTTGGGTAGTTGTAGCCCGTGCCGGGGTGTTTATAATTAATTTTCGATAAAGGTTTGCTGTGGCATCCCCAAAGATAGCCCACCCCATGTTTTTTAACTATTTATCTCTTTAATTTGTGTGGGCGTTCTTTCGAAACATTACGGTAGCATTTTTTTTTCTCATTTTTTATTTGCACATTGAAAGTTAGCTTGCTCCTTATTTTAACATGATTTGCCTTCGATTTTAGGTGGGCTATCTCTTGGGATATTACTGTAGCCTCCAAATGAATGAAACTTCACAATAAATGTAGAGGATTATTTTCAGTTTAGGTAATGGTTACTTTACCATATAACCATATGTAGATGTCATTCTCTTTTTAAAACTTTTGAATTGGCAGTTAGAATGAGTCATTGTTGTGTTATGTGGACATGTCATTTGCTCTGTGTCAGTTGTTATACCTGGGAGGTGTCGGTTTTTAGTGGTCCATCATTGGTTTTTCTCTGTTGCAGCTCTTTGCCTTGCGGTCGCAATTGTCTCGTGCCAGATGGAACGACGGTTTCGTCCATGATCTGCTCAGCTTTCCGCCACTGCTTTGGGTAAGTTTGTGAAAGCAATCTTCCTGTTTAATCTGTGCATTAGTCACGTTTAGTTCTTTGCACTGGAGGCGCTCGGATGTACTTGGTTTCATTCACAAGTGGATAAGCAGACAAAAACGAGCAGAACATATCCAACAAAGTGAACATCTTCTAAAATGTTAATTTTTTGCTAAAAGTTATTAGCCTTCCAAAAGAAAAATAGAAGTGTTTTCTCGTCCTTTCCCCACCTTTCATAGGTATCTTCCATAGTCTCCTAATCGAGCCTCACTATTTCGTGTTAAACCACCTATTTCACAAAGAAATTTATCTTTTATTAATGTATTGGGCTGCACCTGCTATAATGCTTCAGCACCGTGGGTTTTTGTAAATAATTAAATAAAACTCGCGGGCATCCTTACTTGTGGGAACATGGCAAGCTTCTGCGGGAATGTTGACAGGAGATGAATCCAAGCTCGGTGGCATCCTCCATCTTGAGGAAATCAAAAGAACTTCACTTGGGACACTTTGATTGTACCATTGCGCATCGAGCTCCCAAGAGCACAACACTGGTGCATTTCTAGAGCGTAGTTCTCATTCAGTTGCTCGCTAGTGATCCAAGAGTCATCGCGCACCCACCCAGAAACAAGCGAGAACAAGACAACCTGGAAGTATTTCTCACCTCCTGTCATGGCGGCCGGAGGTTGCCCGAATACTTTGTTAAGAAAACACTTTCTACTTGAAGATAATGGCAAGAAGTGTAATGAAGGAGCAATGCACAAAGTAATAAAACCCAAAAGAAACCCCCCAAAATGCAATCACCAGAGGCCAGATTCACGAAGAGCTTCTTATTTTACAAGAACTTAGCTAAGAAGTTTCCTTTGTAAGTTAAGAACATCGTAAGAAGAGGAGAAATCGGTGTTCACAAACACGCTTTTAAGTCAGAGGAGAAAAGCGACGTTCTTGTATGGAAAAACTAGAACTTACCGGTGTTGTTGCTATAGCGATGGCGTCTTTGAAAGCACGAACAACCATTCGGAGAGCTCGGCATGGTTTGGAGCACTTGGATTTTTAACAACAAACACAGACGGCCTTTCCACCACTGATTGTCTGGGGTCCGTGTCCGTGCAGGGATATGTCGACGCTAGCACAATTTAAACGCGCCCGAATGCCAAGGCCGGGATGCATAACCGCTTCCGTTGACTCCTACGAACTCGATCGCTACGAAGTCAACACAACTGTCATCGTTGGTAAAAGACGGCCTGTGCCAGTCGTTTGCAAAGCGACGTAGATGGAAACAAATCGCCGCAACGTTTCTCGCAGCCTCGAAGATGCAGGAGCGATCCGACGTTAAAAATATATACGTTCGAACTACGAGAATGTGACCAAGAGCCACGTAAATACCTGTTTACACTCGAAGCGGACGTGCGCTTTTGATTGAGGTGCTGGATTCGCGGTGTTGGACCGCGAATCGGTAAGCGCTTCGGAACCGATCTTTTGCGATTGCAACTCTATAGTGCCGTGACACTCGGCCAAGAGAGGTTGGACCGACATTCAGTTGCTCTCACAAACTGTTATAGCCCGACAGTGACGTGCAGTTGTGTCAGAATAAAAACGGCATACTAATAACGAAGTGTACATACCGTGTTGCGAAGGTAATCCATACGGCGTTTATTTGAGCTCTATATCACATAAAACAAGGAGATAGAATCAATGAGAGTCCCTTTTCGACGACAGCGTTCGCCACCGCTGCCTCGGAAAACAAGATAACAAGGGGTCCGGGGAGGAGATTAACCTCTTAATCTAAAATTGAGGTCAGCGATCAAACTATAATACGGGAAGGGTCCACAAGGGTCGCCCGGGCATATTCCATTCAGCACGCCAGCCGGTCGTGGGCATACGGTCTTGGCCAAGGACCGTCGGAGCAATGCTGTGCCGAGTCGGAGTGCCTGCTAGGCCTATACTGCCGAGCTCGCTTGGTCGGGGTCTATGGAATCGTGGCTGTTGGAGCTTTTTGTGGGTGTTTGGGGGTCCAGCATTCTTGTTCGTCGTTTCGTCGTGGTCTGTTTCAAGTACTCTTTACTTTTTTCTTGCTGCTTGAAGTCGGGACGCGCGAGAAGAGCACGTAGAAAAGTAAACATTCATTGGTCGTCGCGACCAAGTGACTGAGCGACGCTGTCGGCCATGCAGATTTGATCGTAAAAAGTGCGTAAGCCAGCTCCGGAGCTGTCGTAGGATTCCGTCGTAACCTGCAAAAAACTTACGATAATTTTTTTTCGTGAATACGAATTTGTTCTTACGTTTTGTCTTACGCACATTTTCGGCGTAAGATCGTTTCGTGAATCTGGCCTCAGTTCTAGAAATTCGCTAGAGACCCGGGGGGACAAGAAACCCAGGTCTACTTGTAGTAGGCGAAGGGAACTGGTCGTCACCCTGTGAATTGCGTGGGTTTGCATCTGTTTTCTTTTGCATGAAGTTCTACTGTTAAACTCTCCGCAAGGAAAGTGACATGTACAGGCATTTTTCTAACTCTTTGCATTAATTTCTCAAGTTGTGCCCAACAACGCATTAGGGGCTATGTGAAGCATGAAAAGCAATCTCATAGCTCAGTTTGTAATAAGCAATGTCCAAAGTGAGGCACTTGTGAGTCAAAAATGAATGCCTCGTGCCTTTTGCAACGATGCACAAAGGAATCAAGGGCACGTGTGCAACTAAGACACCTTCCTTATTTCGCTGCTTGAGATCAGGGTGCTGTTCAGAGCTCTCGCAAATTGTTAAAGGCGGTGGTGTTAAGTTATAGACTGTTCCCTTTCCCGTCTGGAAGTGCACGTGGTGCAGGACTTTGTGCAGACAACTCTTGACAATGAGACACCTACCCAGTGGTTGCACCGGCTCATGGAAACTCACAGCAGAGAGAGCGAAGACTACAAGATCAGCCTTCTTGGTGAGAGAAGGACGCATACTTTTTATGTGCAGATGGCTTCTTCATCATCTTCATAAACTTCTTATGCCATCTCCATAAAGTTCTCATGCTTGCCCTTGTAGGTTGGCCATTTTCTTAATCTTGATTTCCCAGCAGGCTATTAATGTGAAAGCTTTAACTGTTTCATGGAGCGAGCTGACGTCATCAGTTGGAAGCGCGGAAACGGCAGATAGTTTCCGCGTGCCTTCGGTTCCATTAGCTGGCGCGCGTCGACGGGACTCCCGTTGGCCGCTGCGTCATGGTCTCCGAGATACCGAAGCGTGCGCGCGCCAGTACACAGCAGAAGACAAAGGGAGCGGACGAGTGGCTTGCATGCTTTCGCATTCAGAACTCGTAAGAAATGCTTAGGTGTACCTCGAGCTTTTTTTTCATGCTGTTGCAGGGGCGGATCCTGAACTCCGTTTTGGGGTGGACGAAAAAATTTGCAAGGATACTATTCTGCCATTCGACTGAGTGGTTCTCTAAGTTCAGACTACAAGTGTGCCTGCTAGGTTGCGACCTACCCTATTTTGAACCCTCATCCTTAAGTACCGAGCCTTCTACCACCTGGCAGGCCGGTAATCTGTTTTATTTGGGGGGGGGGGGGGGGGGGGGTCGGGTTGGGGGTCGGGGGTCGGGAGTCGAGGTCGGGGTCAGGGTCGGGGGTCTACCCACTTAAAATTGCCCTCCGAGAAGGAGGAAGGGGGGGGGGGGGGTCGACTTAGTTTTGGGGGGGGGGGGGGGGGGCGGCTGCCCCCGTCGCCCCCCCTTGGATCTTCCCCTGTGCTGTTGATGGCAAAATGTACCCAGCTGAAAGAAAGATATAAGACGTAACTATGTTAGTGTGTGTTCATGTCGTGCCTAATAGGTGTCTGTGGTGCAAAGTTTGTTTCCTTTGTCCTCCAGATATTTTTAAATCGCTAGAGTGTTACACTCTCTTTTTGCCTGCCGTCAAGCGCCTTCTTCTGACTGATTTATACGAGGTAAGAGCATAATGACACTGATTTCTGTCGTACTTTTTAATAAAGGCTCTTTCACACTCTTGCAGCCGAGTACGACCGAGAGAGACAAGACCGGTTTTTAATCCTCTTACGACGTCTTGGGACCAGCTCCGCAGCAGTGCACTTGATCCTAAGATGTCGCAAGAGGCTTAAAAACCGGTTCTGTCTCTCTCGGTCTTACTCGGTTGCAAGAGTGTGAACGGGCCTTAACTGCTTACAAAGTTGAGGAGAGGGGGAGGGGAGGTTATTTAAGATTGGTCTATTCATGCCCTTCGTCGTTAAGCAATTACTTTGAAGTGCCTTCCTGAGCTCACCTGTCTAACATAGTGCTGACGTTAAAGGGGCCATGAAGGTAACGACAATGCTGGACGCTATGTTACCCCACGAACCGGCTGTCGACGCAAGCGACGACGCCCAGGTGGTTGCCCAAAGGGCAGAAGAAGTCCGTCAGCTCGCCAGACTCCGGATTCAAGCCCAACAACGTATCGACACTGGCCGCTACAACCTTCGTCGTCGGGACGTCCACTTCCAGCCCGGAGACAGGGTGTGGGTGTGGACACCGATTCGCCGCCGCGGTCTCAGCGAGAAACTCCTGAAACGTTACTTTGGACCTTACAAAGTGCTTCGTCGACACGGGGACCTGAACTACGGGGTGATGCCCGACGGAACAAGAACATCATCACGCCGCCCACCACGACCGGAAGTCGTCCACGTCGTGTGACTGAAGCCGTACTACGCTAGATAGGACTGTGGACCTTATATGTTCCAAAGGACTCTTTAGTTTACCGTTATTTTTATTTGTTTAGTTCTTGGATTGCATCGGGTCGATGCACTTTTTAATGGGGGGAGTAATGCCGCGTGCCCAGCTGGCCAAGTAGGCAGCGCGCGCGTGGCCTAACGATTATCGCGCTTGCCTCCCACGCGAAAAGCTAGGGTTCGAATCCTGGGAGTGACGTGTCTTTTGTTTATTCCTGCAATTTAGTGTTCTGGAGAATTCGAGAATCATGTTGCTTGTTCCAGGCCCGAATGTTCTACGCGTCGAAGTTTCTACGCCGATTATTCCAGAAGACCACTCATGTACATAAGGGGCTCCGCGTGGCGACCCACAGTCAGTT